ATGCATGTGAGTATATATATATATATATATAATCTTTAAATACACATCTTTTATTCACATAAAGGAACAGTGAAAACAGTTCTAACAGAAATGAGTAAGCTGGAGCGACTGGAACCCCACCAACAGACAGCCAAGTTAGTTGGAACCACCACCAGAATTTGTCAAATGCCCAGTCGCAATACCAGTCATTATATATATACACACTGCACAACCTGCCTGCCTTAGCTTATTCCAATTCCGGTCTATAATACACAATTAACAGGCAAAAATGGGTCAGGCGATAATTTTTAGCAGCGCAAGGAAGCGAAGTGCATGTACAGCAGCTAGTCAGTTCATTAGTGGTAGTCACTATCGTTGCTGGAAAGCACAGAGCAGTTCAGCATCCGTCTCTGACCTTCCGCCAAATGAGACCCGAGCCAGAGTGAGCCTTTCACCTCCGGGCTTGGTAGCCATTGTAAGGGATTGGGCCTTAAAACAGGAAACGAACAACGGGGAGGGGAAGTGAGGAGGAAAAGGACAGGAAGAGACGACAACAAAAACATTCAGGTAAGTAAAACATACAACTCAGCTCAGGGGCAGATTAAACTGTAAACATTGAACAAATACACCTTATGTGTGATGCTTGTAGGGACTAGCGCTTTACCGATAAATTGAGATTTTTAGGTGGGATGGCACCACTTTGGGTAATCGTGTTAACTACCTCCCATGGCCTCTCCGTGCTGTAACAAGACGGGAAAGTAGGATACAGAGAAGATGTAGAAAGAGTCATTGTCTCCAGGTTGCTTCACTGGTTAATGCCGGACACGTGCATCCCTGCGCCAGGTTACACTACGAGGGGTTTAGTAAGGGTCATGCTCTCATGCCGTTCGGAGGCACACAGAAGGGGAAGTCGAGCAAGACGTTTGAAAAACCACAAATGTAAAAAGTCTGCTGTCACGAACACAAGGATCCGGGGTTCCAACACACAGACTGTCAGGGTGGAGCAGGCTCACAGAACTACACAAATACGTATGGGACAGAAACCCACTGCGAGGGATCCGTTTCACAGGCTGGATGGGACAGTTGGACTTCCTTTGGTCACTATGCTGGGGTCACCTCCCCTTCGTGCTGCAGTCCCACAAAACAGAGCAGCACTGGACACATGTTTTGAGGGAGCTCCCACGTTTTAGTGCAAGGTTCACCAGTAGCCTCCATCTTACTTTGGCTGTTGGAAAATGCCACCCCACCTCTGCAAACGGGAGCCACCCCAGCCCCTGCCTACTCACCTCCCATGCCGTAGCCAGCGCAGGAGGAGGGGTCGCAGTAGCCCGGCGGCCCTGAGGGACCCTGTGAGCCTGGGGGTCCTGTGTGACCGGCGGGACCTCGTGGGCCTGGAGATCCTGGTGGTCCCGGGCTGCCAGTTCGACTCTCTCCTGGAGGTCCTGCATAGAAGCGGAAGATGAAGCATCTTGAGTAACATCTTTCATAAAATCTGTGAGTCGAGGGCACCTTTCCAGGCCTGGAACACATGGTGCTGAGTGTGCTACAAACACTGCCAGGAGACGGCTTGAGTGGAGGAGCTACCCATCCCTGGGCAAGCAGAGGGAAAGGATGCAGCCCTCCTCTAGCAGGGGATATGAAGCAGTGGCTGGAGAGGAGACTTGCTCCTGATAAGTCTCCTCTCGGGCTGCTGCTTCACCTCCTGTGCCAGAGACAGCTTTAGCTAGAAATTCACACCAGAGCAGGTGTTTCACCAAGTGTCAGCCGTTCCACAAGGCAGCCTCATGGCAGGAGGGCAGCTCTGCACAGCTTGGGATTCCCCCACGCCCCCCTTCCAGCCCAGCTGCTGGGTAATGCTGTGCCTTGATGCCTTCACTCTAATGGCCAGAATATCCTAACAAGGTCAATGCAATTTTACACCTGTTTCAACAGGACCTAGATATCACCCTCTCTGCTTTTTTTTTCAGGAGCTAAATACAAATCCCTGTGATTATTGCATTTAATTAGCATACATTTCTCTGTCAAGTCATGGTTAGGTATGACCTTGAGTCCATGAGAAAACAAATGCAATCAGTCCAGGTTAATTTTTCCCATTTCAGACACCATCTCTGAAAAAAAATACTGAAAACATTAAAAGAGAATATTTCGGAGATGCAGTTTATCGCTGGCAAAAGGAAAATATTTGTGTGACTGATGACACAGTCACGTGGCACATCACACTGTAGGACTTAAAGTGCTTGAACTACTGACTGCTGCTGTTTAACCATTAGAAGCAGAGGACTGAGCCCTGCAGGTCTTGGCTGCTTTGCACATGGGTCAGATTGGTCTACTCCAGATACCTCAAATGTAACAATTTTACCTGTAGAGCCTGGTGGGCCTCGAGGTCCTTGTGTTCCAACCCCTGGATTGCCTTTTTCTCCTTTCTCGCCTGGTAAACCTGAGGAAACAGCGCTCAGAGTCACATTTTGAACAAAACTGCATGCAGTGTTTATTATTTAACCAGGATTACAGTTCTGTAAGTTATTTCTCATCTAAAAACAGATGGCAAAGAACAAAAGGAGGTAAAAATAAAGAATTATTTGCTTCTTTTCTCCCTCCCTTCCCTGACAGTCTCGCAAAGGAAACATGACATTCCCGGGGTCTCAGACATTCCTGAAAATGTTATGCAGAGGCATCAGCCATTTTTCAGGCTGCACTCCCTGCTGGAAAGCTGCCTCTGGACTATACCAAGGTACAACTATTGTAAGCCAGAAGAATCCTCAGAGCCTCACAAAGTTGTCTATAAATTACTACGTGGACCAGAAAAATCCAGTTTTTAATGCTACAGCTGATTTTCCTTAAACATTCACACCTCCCCAAACAGTGGCTCAGCGTAAGGTGGTTCTGTGCATAAGCAGGGAGTTATTGTAGATTGTTGGAGTCTTGCTAAAATGCAAAAAAGGAGTTTCAGCACTGTGAAAATCCATCCCTTCAAACGAAGCCCAACATGCACAGACATCGAGTTGTGTTCCTGCACTTGCTCACAGCCCTAAATTGGATCTGATCCATGGCGATCACAGATCCAGTAACCCAGAGAATGCACTACCTTCTTCCAGCTTTCCACCTCCTCCTGCAGTACCGCTATGGCATCCTACAAAACAAACTTTCTATGTACAGCTTTCACAATAAGCAGTGTCAAACTCAAGTAGGTGTCAAAACTACAAATTCCAGCCTCTGAGTTTCCACCGGCAACTTGGAAACTCTCATAAAGTCTGTGTTTGATTTGGATGGTCCAAAGACACCAAATCCAGGCTGCTTTGTGGGACTTTCCCCCCATTTTCCAGACCTCCCAGTACTGGTAACTGCTCTCGCTGCCTCACAGCTTCCACACTTTCAGGTTCCAAGCCAACATAGAGCACCTTCATAAAAACAAAGTAGAAAGAAAACAGCTGCTGCCCTTGATGAGGCAATATCTACCATTTCAACTGCCTGGCCTCCTCCCTTCCCTTTTGCTCAGGTAACTGTTACCTCTTAGAGGTAAAACATCTGGAGGACCCCTCATTTTTTCAGAGAGCCAGAGAAGGTTTTTGCCTTCCTAAGATGATGTCTGATGGAAGCAAATGACTAAGAACAAACTCTAAATGTGGAAAAAAAATGTAATTTAAACCCATCATCGACTCACATCAAGTCTACAAAATGATGTCTTCCGAATTACAGGGGATTCAGTATCTGCTGAGGGGCTCTAGGTCTTCTACAGAACAGGCTTCCAGGGCCTCTGTATATCATGTATCCCGATCACGTGGAAAACACAAGTCACACCGCTGCGATGAGTAACTCCGTGCTGAGGTCATTGTTTTTAATTGAAGAATGATGAGCTCTTCGTCTTGCCTCTACAAGTCTTTTTGACACTGTCCCAGAGCAGCTTAGGTATTTCCCCCTTTCCTTCTCTAACTTTTATTTCCTTCGATTGCACAATTTTGGGGCTTTTTCAGTTTGTTTGGTTTTTAATGGATTTTGGTTAAAAAAAGAAACCAAAGAGAAATTATAGAGGAATTATTCCACAGCCACTTTTCACAACAGTTCCCATTAGCAGGTCTCCACAGCTTTCCAAGAGATTCTAATAACACTGTATTTTATGGGAGAGACTTGGCCACCAAGAGGAGAAATACTACACCCAAAATAATTTAGTAGAAAGTAGCAAAAAGAGAGCAGGTGTGACAATCTGGGTGATGCTTAAAACATTATTTTGCAAATAGCAGGTATCTTCCTCTTGCTTCCAGAAGATACCAGTTGAGACGGAGCAAGGTCTTTTATGCCTCATCCCTGGATATTCACAGATAACAGAATATTTATGTAATTACTACTAAAAGTGAAATTTCTGAGTCCAACATTACTCCCTATGTATGCCAGCATGTTAGAAGTGTGACCAAATGTTCCTCTGACCAGCGTAGGAACACAAGTGCCGGGCTGTACCCCAGAACGTGCTCTGACCTGGAGACTTAACTCATGCCTCTAAAGTTACCTCCATCCCAGTTAGACCCCATACAAACACACTGACTCAATTATGAAAATTCTTCATTTCCTGAATTGTCTGCCAAGCTTAAGCAAGAATTTGCCGGTATCTCATGCTCAGTAGCCAGATTTCTGATCATGTATCTTGTTATCCCATGACTGGCCCTTCACACAGACTTCCAGAGATGCTTCACAGTGATATTTAAGGACCTAGAATTCTTGTGACCATGGGCTGAGTCCTCCTTTACTGGTTTAATACCTTCACCTGTGCTTATTAGGACACAGACTCATCCCACATGCAGGCTCTGCAGATTTTTAGATGACAGCATAAAGCTGAAATCCAGAAATCTTGGATGTTCAAGTGCAAACAATCCTGATGATGTGGCTTGGATACACAATTATATGTTTTCCCCTGCTCAATGTTTCTGACTAAACACCTCGGTGCACTAAGCCAGAAAGGTTAAGAATGGCTCTCTAGCCTAACTGCTCAGAAACTTAGCAGGAAACCCTTGTTTCAGACCTTTATTCCAAGATCTGAATTTGCTAACATTTTTTCTCCTAGAATTCTTTGCAACATAATACATGGCATTTCTGCTCTCACAGACTGTCTTCAAAGTCTAGTATGAACCTCCGGTTTCCATTTGGGTAGCAGTTTCATTCCACAGGACTATCTGGAACCTTTAATGAATGACTGCGCTGCATAGTGTACGTAGGGAGCAGTCCTAGGCGGCAGATGTGTGCTATAAACTACATTTATATTCTGGGGGGGAATCTGCCAAAAAACCCATGTTATCTGTGATCAACAACTGAATTCCATCCATTTTAAAGACAAATTACTCAGGCAAGCCTCTTGTCTGGCATCCCCAGTGCATTTTCCAGCTACCTAAACACTGCTTAGCCCTTGCTTGCTTCAAACACGTGGAGAGACACCGCTGTTGCAGGTCGTTTAACAAGAAAAACTCATCATCTAACTTGTCTCTTACCACACACGTCCTGTAAGGAAATGCCTGCCATTTGCAAAAGGCAAAGTCTTTTGTGGATTTCTTTGACCATAAGAAGACTGACCCATGATAACCATCTGTAATTTCCAGAGACATTTAGTACAAGGACCATTGATTGTCCTACTTACAATCACATTATGTGATGACTTCAAAGACAGTCATAGAATCAGAGTGGTTTGCGTTGGAAGGCGCTTTAAAGATCACCTAGTTCCAACTTCCCTGCCATAGGCAGGGACACCTCCCACGAGAGAGAGCAGGTTGCTCAAAGCCCCATCCAGCCTGTCCTGGAACGCTTCCAGAGATGGGCAACCTGTTGCAGTGCTTCACCACCCTCACAGTAAAGAATTTCTTTCTCATATCTAATCTAAATCTACCCTCCTTCAGTATGAAACCGTTAGCCTTTGTCCTACCACTGTACTCCCTGACACAGAGTCCCTTCGCTTCTTTCCTGTCAAAGTCCCCTTTAAGTCCTGGGAGGCTGACACAAGGTCTCACAACGGCCACAATGTTTCCAAATCACAGCCTTCCATGCACTCAATTTTTACCCTTTACACACCCAAGAACACACACCTAGACATGATGTTGACAGAATAAACTGCCAAAAGAAATTACAAATATGGAACAAATCCACTCAGGCTAAGAATAAAATGTTCATTCTGGAACAAATTATGAAGGTCTTGCACAGGGCTAACCTTCCTTGAAATCACATGGATATCAAGTTCCTACAGTAAATAAACCAAAGGCTTCAGGTTTCTTTTAGCCTAATTTCCAGTAAAGTTTACCCACATGAAAGAGAACACAAATACAGAGTGAGAATACCCTGCTCCTAAGGCAAAACTCACATGAGTTAAGCACTCCATGGCCTTCCCTAAAGGACTTTCCACCACAGCTCTTCAGCAAAAGTAAATTAACAGATTCACAGACCTCATAGTTAATGGCTCCCTCCTACAAATGACACAACATTCAAAATTCACCCATTTCCCTTTCTATCGAGGTAGTCTTTGGACTTCAGTAGACGAACCCGAGACAAGACATCTCTCCCCATGTAAGTTGCTGCAATGGGTAATTTCTCTCAGGGATGAAAGTGTGTATCAAAATTTGTCTTTGAGTTAGAACGGCTTCAGATTCTAGTCTCCGTTTTCATATTTGTGCCATGGACAAACTTCAGCAATACCATCAAACTGCCTCTCCCCCTTTACACCAACCATTTTTTTTATGTCCACATCCCAAATAAGCCATGGCTGGGGTTCAGCCCCAGGAAGATCACTAGCAACTGAAATGAATTATTTCCCATGCTCTGCTGAAGATACCTCTGATAGCATGAGTTATTAAAAATAAAACCGAGATCATGAATGCATTCTGTAAAAAAGAAAATTAAATGTCCATGGTTTCTGCATGAAAGGAAATCTTAGGTATTGCTATTTTTGTCTTTAAGATAATACTATCCTTTGAGGAGAACTGCATATTACATTCAAGAAAAATTAAACTATCAAAAATATCCTCTTTTGAAGATGCTCAGTTGTAACCATAATATATAATAACACAAGGTGATTTTTTTTTTATCCAGATGAAGCTACAATTGGAAATAAAAATATTTACTTGACTCAACTGGCAAAAGTTCCATTTAATTTCACTGGAATTTTGCCATCAGAGCTGTAAACATGTGGCCTTTGATAGCACATCTAACTAACTCTTTCATATGGATGAAGCTGCACTTGAGAACAGTGACTTTCCCAGTGACAGCTTGGCTATTTATTGTATTTTAAACATAGTGGGACAGAGTGAGTATCCATAAGTTTTGCATATCACTTCAGGACACATCGTAAGAGCAAAAGTCCACCCAGTAGTAGAAGAATAATTACACTTTCACAGCACCTGAAAGCTAGAAGTGCCTCAGCATAATTTTTACTATGGCTTTTACATTCTGCCTCAAAATTGAGAAAACTGCCCAAGTAATACAAAAATAACTGATAAAAAAATTGATTTAAAAAAAATCGTGCTCAATCTTTGCTTTTTTTGTATTATTTTGCACAAGTCCAACTACTTCCTGAGCACTGAGAAGCCAGACACTAGTTATTCAAGTCCCAGATCATAAACATAAGGTCAGAAAAAAAGATGTTTAAACTAGCTGAAATAAAAATAGAAACCAGTGCTGTGAACTAGCTTTTTTGAACACTCCAGGGATGGTGACTCCACCACTTCCCTGGGCAGCCTATTCCAATCCTTCACCACTCTGTCAGTAAAGAATTTTTTCCTAATATCCAATCTAAACATCCCCTTGCACAACTTGAGGCTGTTTCGTTATGTACTACAGGAGACTGATAACACAACGTGGCCTTCTGAATCTCCAAATCACCGATCCAATTCAAATGGCCTGTTGGGGCACCAATAAAATGTTAGTATTGCTAACAAATACTGAGATTGTCAGAGGTGTTTCTTTTCACATCATTAGAAAGTATTTTTCTAATTTTCTAATTTCAGGTAAGACCCCACAGTGTACAGCTAAGACAATAATCTACTAGGAAAACTAAATAACAAATGTCTTGATGTGATCCTAATCCACTCAGTTAGGTCTACGCTGGAAAAAAATAGATTTCAGCTGGCATCACTGAGAACTGTACCTATAAAGAGAATGAATTATCCTTTCTCAGTGAGGTGTTCTTTCTTGGAAGGACCAGCTCAGAGAGTTCCTAGTGAGAGAATACATCCAGGAATGGGACACCCCAGACCTGGAAGTTCAAGTGGAGGTTTCTAGCAAAAACTCCAGGACGCTATCTCAGTCCAAGCCTCCTTCCAAAACATCTGGTTAACACTTGGCACAGAGACAAGATTAACACAGGAAAGAAGCGATCGGCCAGGCAAGTTAGCAGGGAAAGTCCTTCATGCCAGGATCTCTCTCTGCTGACATTTTCCAGTAACGCTCTCTTTGGTGCGTGGTTCCTAACTGGTCCCACACTCTGCTTTCAGAAGTTCCCCCTCCACACAGGTTGGGATTAAACGGGTGGTGGGCAGGAGAGGTGAAGAGGAAGAAACCTCTAGCCTCCCCCCACCTTTTCCCACCCCACTAGCACCTTGCTGCTCAGCTCAGGGGCAGTAAGAAGTTCTTGCAGCAATCTCGATAATTTGAAGTCCAAGGGGAAAAAAAGCGCAACATTCTACTAGATAAGCAACAAGTCTTTTTTTTTTTTTTTTTTCCCCCTCCTTTTTAGTATCTACTACTTTTCAGTGTGCTTTTTAGTATGGACACTGCTCTTGCAGTGTAATTTCCACACTTAAAGGTGGAGGCTGGCTTTTCAGAGTTGCTAATCTGGCACTGGTTTTGAACATTAAATTGACTTAATATACAACCAAAATACTGTTGACATAAGTGAAAAGAAACACGTTGCTCATAAATACTTCCAAGTGGCTGGCTGGAAATCTTTAGGATAGGACTATAGATTGTGACTTGCTGAACAAGTTAAATACAAACGATGCTTCAGAACACAGCAAGGGCTGGGGTCTGAGTCCATTTATCCTCCTCGCTGTAGTCACTGGAAACTAAAACCCTTTCCTTCCAGAAGCTGAGCAATTTTGATCTGCTACTCCACTGTATGATATGTAGTCAAGAGTCAAGTGAGAATGGAGAATGCAGAAGAGATTTCCACAAGCATGAGAAGCTGCTAAAAATAATTTTGACTTTTCACTGCTGCATTGTGGGGTTAGCAATTGCTTAGAAAATGAATTCTGAAATATCCCAAGAGTCTGTACAACTCAAAAGATATCTTTCTGTTAAATAAACTGCTACTACATCAGGCACACTATCAATCTGAAATTTCATTTGCTTCTGAAGAAAATTCAAGGACTAATAAATTATCCAACATTTTTTCTTAAGTTCTGAATTAGCTCCTTCCTATTCCTTCCGAGTTCTGTGCAAGGCTCCAGTTACATAAATGTCCTAAAAATCATTTTCACTCCAAATAAAGACAATTACTTTGCCTTTAAATTTACACGTAGATTATTTTTTCTTAACACAATCTGATTTAAAACTATAAACACTGTAAAATACCTCAACATTTGGCATTACATTTTACGAAAACCTGCAGAGAGCTCTGGCTGACAGGTTATAGTTCTTGGAAAACGCTTGGTAAGAGCTTGCTCTCTACCCAGCATGAAACTCCCCACAAGCACTACCTGCCAAAATCAGTCCCTTCTAACATCAGTTATCTATCGAGAGCGGAAAAGATATTCCTTTTTAATTTGTTTTTACCCTTTCTGTACTGACTTTATTGCCAATGGTGCTTCCCAGATAGTAATATTATCAACAGTGGGTTAGCCCACATCATGTTTCATTTAAATGACTGTATCTAATTTCTCCTTGATTTTATGGCAGTACAACATGTGAGGCTGGGCCTCAGCACAAGAAATACAAGGAAAATCCATGTCAAATTCCCAACAGGTTTCCCTATGCCTGGCATTTTGGTTCCTGCACTGGTGAAGCCACAGCAAAATATTCAGCGTGCTTAAACAATTCCTGCCTGAGAATTCATTTACAATACACCAGTATTTTAAGCAAATACCCCAAAATCTGCATTCAGTCTTTCCAGGTCACCGCTTTAAAAGTTGGTTCCTCCCATGTTGTCTCTTCTGATTTTCTTTCCTACTTGCCTTCCACTCCTTCATTCCTCCTTTTTTCTGGACAGTGTTTGGTCTCTGCACAGCTGAAGGAGGCAGGAGCATGACCAAGAGGCTAGTACCATAAACCTCGCCTCTTTTTTCAAGAAGGTAAGTAAAATTACAGTCATGAGGGGAAAAAAGGACCCACACTCTCACAGGTTCACTCAAAGACTTTCTTTTCAAAAAACTGCTTTAACTCTGGGCATCATGGCTACAGTGAAGTGGAACTATTTAAGCTCCTGAACTGAACAGCCTTCATGGCAATTCATTTTTAAAATCCCAGTTAGCAGATTTTGTAACAGCAACACCAATTCATTGCATTTGGTTATCGCAGTTATCTCGTGGGTTCTTGGTTGCTTCCTCGTGCAAAGCACTTTTGCAAGCGTAGATCTACTCAGTACTACCTTTGTGAGGTTAGTGCTACTGTGCTACAGCAAAGATTGCTAGGGTTGCATGGAGAGAGGAAATCAAAACACAACACAGAGCTTGTTTCTTTATTAGACAGTGCTGGTGTAGGAAAGGAGAAAGGGATCTATCCTACACATAAGAACACAAAAGAGAATTCTTGTATATGAACTGTTAACTGTCTTACTTCTCTCTAATCTCACCATTTCCTCTTCTTGGTCCTCTCAAATACTCATAAACTAGGATATTTTCCCTCTTCTTATCAACCTTGATCCTTTCAGACGATCAAAATTAGAAACATTCAGACCAACATATTTCAAGTCTAGCAGAAAAACTGAATCTTTCCCCAATATGGGGAAAGTTTTGCAGCTGACTTTCTTCAAAAGCTCCTTTTCTTATACGTTTAGAGATCCAGCTCACTTCAGAGTCCTACTAAGATGAAAGCATGAAGTGACGGGATGTGCCCAACTAGATGCCACCAATCTTCAGCAGTTTAGGCACAAAACCCCTGTCTGATCCTGCCAAATCACACTCCAAAAAAGTCTGCATTACCTTCATGACTGAAAGTCTCCAGAGCTTTCATTATGGTCTGTGTTGAGCTCACCAATCAACTACTGAGAAAACTCTTCTCGCATTTAGACAGGAGACAAAAGCCATCAGAAGTTATCAGGAAAGGGAGATGTACTTCCAAATATGTGAAGTATGAAGCCTACCTCTTTCTCCTGGTCTTCCTGGTTGACCAGGGCTTCCTGGAAATCCTTGCATGCCTGGTGATCCTTGCTCACCCTGTGGCCCTGGCGACCCTGGCCGACCCGGCTCACCAGGAGGTCCTACAATGGTTCGTGTTGAGACAGACTGGCTTGGAATCTGGTTCAGAATTGAGTTATATCTTGCCATATGACCTGTCAGGAAAAAAAATTCATAATTTTCAAGTTGCAGTGGAGAATCTGGTTCAGCTGAGTCTGAATAGAGCACTGGCAGGTCCTCAACACTGTGGTCTGTCATGCTCTGATAATATAAAGTTGTGTGGTTTTTCATAGAGAAATAGTGGTTTAACGTGCCCAAAGAAAATGGAAGAACTATTATGTAGAATTTTATTCCCTTGCTTTAGTGGTTTGTTCTTTTTTTATTTATTATATGTCTATAAAATTTTCAAACTGTTACAGCAGAAGCTTCTGTATACTATAATAGCGTGGAGACAATACAGGCTTTTCTTTAGATGGCTGATGCTAATCAGCTTTAGTTGGACATAAATCCAGTTGAACATAAATCTATCTGGAACCTAAATCCTGACTGTCTAGACTAAAGCCAACAGATCCTCTTGGATGCTTTGAATAGCACCATATTTGTAAGTAATTAGGGGAGGAAAAGATCCATTCTAGAGATAGAAGGATATGAACTATCGATGTACTTACCCTGGATGAGTTGCTCACACACTTGACGAGCAACAGCACGCACCATTGCTTGGGACTGGAGATCCCCCTGCAGCAGGGTCATAAAACAATTTTTTGCATCATTTCTATCTTGGAAACTCTTAGAGCAATGAAAGATATTTACTATCCCTGAGAGATTATATTCTCACAAATGAGAAAAAAAGCCAAAGAAGTTTGGGATTTCTCTGGTTCCCATTACTTTCTGTAGCCAGAGAACAGAAGTCTAAGAAGACAAACCTAGTGAGAGATTTAAGGACATTCTAAACACCGCATACGTCTCACCTTCAAAACATGAACGTAACTATATGTAAGACAATGCCAGGAAAATAAAAAAGTTTGCTTGACTGCACAGAGAAAACTATTGTGCCTGTAAACACAGGAGTGACAAATTGTCAGATAAAGCTTTTTATAAGACAAAAAGCCAGACAACAAACAAAAAAAGGTGACTTATGTAAATAGAGACTTACCCGCTCACCTCTTTCACCCTTAGCTCCAGGAGGACCCTACGAAAAGAATAAATACAAAATTAATTCTCATTTTGTTCTTACTCAAAAATTTTAACACCTGAACACTGTCTCCCTTGTAGCATCACAGTAAAAGGAGAAAAAATAAACAAGGAACAAGGTCTCAGGAGGCAATGTGACAATAACAAATATACTTTTTCCATTTCAGTATCAAACAAAATGTTCACCTTTGGCAACAATGACTTTCTCAGGCATTTGCCACATACTGAATTATCGTTTAAAATAGCAGCAAGGGCACAGGACCAGATGATGCATTTCGCGTGGCTGAAATGGGTCTAATTATCACAGAACCACCTACACTGGAAAAGACCTAAGAACACTGAGTCCAATCATTAACATAACACTGGCAAGTCGTTGACTAAACCATATTCCTAAGCACTATGTCAACATGACTTAAATACCTCCAGAGACACGGACTCCACCACTGCCCTGGGCACCCCATACCAATGCCTGATAACCCCTTCAGTAAAGAAATTCTTCCTAATATCCAAACTGAGCCTCCCTTGGTGCAATGCGAGGCCACTTCCTCTTGTCCTAGCACTTGTTACGTGGCTGAACAGACCAGTCCTCACCTCTCTACAATTTCCTTTCAGGTAGTTGTTGAGAGAGAGAAGGTCTCATTGAATATAAGGAAGAGAAGGCTGACGAGAGACAAAATATCAATCTGGAATATGTGGCATTTGCTGCACTTAGACTCTGCACTGACTACGAAGACAGTCAGCAATGGGATTAAACTATGCGAAAAAATAAGTATGACATTAAAGAAAACATAATACTCTAATGATGGTGAGGATCATTATGGATTGGAACTAGTTGTCTAGAGCGGTTACAACTTCATCATTGGAGGTTTTTGGAGTAGGCTAGACATCTCTCAGGAACTCCTGAAATGAGGGAAGTTCTACATGAAGATGTAACCATTTGACTGACGCATGGTTAAAGCACAGCTTATTCTATTCTGGGAAGGAAGAAACTCCTACAAAACTGCAAAATTATTTCTAGGCCTGTTTGCAATTACTGTACCTTTTGGGAAAGAGAGTTATTGAAGCTCAGTGTTTTTTTACCCACCTAGCTGTTTTTTCACAACTACTAGAGTCTAAACATTCACAGCAGAAGTCTTACGTGATGCACAGGAATATCCACACTCTAGGAAATTGAGTTAGATATCTGGAACATGTGTTTGGACAGGAACTGAATATTCAGCATGTTATACATTGATAGTAATAAGTTCCATGGCTCATCAAGTCTTAATAGATTTCATGATTGCACGTAGAAACTATGCAGAACTGAGCATTAGGTTATTATCTTTGCTTGTATACTATTAGTCATTGCGTTTCCACTTAACTGAATAAAATTGCTTGCATTGGATTAAATCTCCAAAGCAAACTGGATTTTGAACTAAAAAAGAAAATATTATTCTAAAAAAAAGAGTCAAAAAATACACACTGACCCATTCTGATGGCTTTAAAAAGTAAGTAGAACACCCATTGTTATATATGGGGAAAAATGAGAAGGTTTTATTAAAAAAACAAGTCAAATGTCAAAACGTGAATACACAATATTATCTGAACTGTTACAGACAAAAGAGGTCCACTGTAAATTTTCTCTTTTACGTAATTTACACACTCGTTTTACAGTTGTATTCCTTTCTTCTAGTTAAACTGTGGTTTGTATGTGAAAGACAAACTTAGTATTAGATGTTCCTAATACTAATTTTAGGTATAGAGGGTGTAATGTTCCACTCAGTGAAACTGCTGGTCAAATTTATATTAACAGTCTAGAAAAATCTCTCATGATTAGTCAGTTGTGCTGACATAAACCCGGAGTAAAGTCAGTTTTTTATTCATGCAATATTTTCAGAGTTTGAAACTCAAAAGAACATTTCGGAAATGTTCAGGTTAATAAGTGGCATAGTTTAATTTCCCGACAGTTGCTTGAAGTGCAAAGAAAAAAAAAAGAGAAAGTAACTATACATAGACTACAAATTCATATACTGTCCTATTTTTAACCTCTGTGTTTTAATCTTGTTTTGACTCTCTAATCCCTATATTCTAAACACTATATGTAAGATCAACAAATAAATTTAATTATGAAAAATGAACAAAGAAAGACCAGTATCGTGTTTTGCTTAGGCACTAACTGCAAACAGATCATAAGCTATAAATATCGAGGAGTTCTGTAAACCAGAGTTGCGGGGATCAGAAACCAACTAACGCACAACAGCAAATTCAGCAATATTAATTAATTTTACTTACAGGAGCTCCAACATCACCTTGTGGCCCCTGGCTTCCAGTAACACCTGGAACACCTGGAGCACCAGGTATGCCCTACATGGAAAAAGAGAAAGAAAATGGTGATGACAATCAACATCTATGAGCCCTGGTGGGAGAAACAACTGTGATGGAGAGATGAACAAAGCAGACAGTGCACAGACAGTTCTGTCCATCAAAGACCAGAGATGCCAGGAGAGAGGACTAAGATGTGTATGTTGCAGCAAAAAAGAGCACTGGAAGCACAGCTCTGCAAAAAGCACTTGAGAAAAACAGGCTTGTGCTCTTGCCAGGCCCAGACTGATGAATTGCAAGACTAAATCCAGTGGCGTTACTACCACGTTTGGGGGATGACGACTCCGAACATTCTTTGTAAAAAGTGCAGGCTTGCTTGGAGAATACTCAACACCATCAGCAGTTTCACCTAGCTGAGAAGGATGTGACTGAACTGAAGGCAACACACATCTTGCTCTGAAGGCTGAACATGGCCTCTGCTGTCTTTCTGAATTACTCTGTGAGAGCTTTTGATACTTGCACTTATCTCCAGCCTCCAGACCAAGAAAATTTGGCAGTTCTCTTCAGCTAACAATCTCAGTTGGAATTTTTTAGAAAAAGAAAGTGATTTCAAATGTTAGGAGCACCAATTCCCTTTATATAGTGTAGTTACTTGACTAAGAACAAGCTATCAACATATCAATGGAACAACCATCTCCCCTTCCCATGGGAGACATTTCTTCTTGAGCTGAGTGAGAGCAGAAAGAAATCACACTGGACGAGCAGCTCTCTGCCAACCCTCTGCGTCATGAGAATTTTAACTTCCAAGGAGAACCTTTGGCCTTGGGCTATCCACTGAAGCCTAGATAAGTGATCTACAACACCCCAAAGTCCTGCTGATGTTTGCAGTAACAAATTCCATGGGTAAGACTCACCATTGGGCCAGGAGGTCCTTGTGGACCTGTGGGTCCATCTTTGCCAGGAAGGCCCTATAAAAGAGAAATATATGCAATTTTATCAGCTTTTACATGTACTTCATGAATATGTTCCATTTCATCTAGAAGACTTTTCTTTTTTTTCTTTGTTTTGTGGTTGTTTGGGTTTGGGGTTTTTTAATTAATAACTGGTGGTAGTGGTTTCTTAGAAAACCCTTATTTGCCCTGGGGAGGGTTTTTTTCTGGAAAGAAGTTGTACTGTAGCTGAGATTAAAAAAACAAATAAAATCCAACTAGTGTCACAATAGTGTGTATATTTGTAAGAAGCAACAATACAAAACTCTGTACTGGCAATGTTCACCTCTCAGTGAATTTTGCATGTAACACTGCTGGAGTGAGGGAGAGGAGAGCATTTGCTGTCGGGCTTCTCTGCCACAGGATGGGTCACACTTCTACATCTGTTCTCACTGGTTGCAACTATTCATGGTCCCACTGATTAAGTGCTGAAAGCTGAAAGTCTATCTCCCTGCCCAGCAAAACTGTCCGTCCGTACTAGCTATCACCGAGGTCCTGATTCAGGAAAGTGGTTCACATTATGAACGTGCTTCAGAGCTTCCAGAAATGAGAGCCAAAAAACAAAGATAACTTGGAAAGTGGAAGGCAGGCAAAGCATAGGAAATAAAACGTAAAAAAAACATACTGACCAGATGTAGAAGAAAATACACTATTAACAAAGTATTCTTGCCAATTAATGAATATGCACATCTTGTGTTCACATGCTACAAAGCATAGGTTTCTGAACAGCACGGTGATAAGTCATTTCTTAAATTACTACACAGCCTAAAAAGGAGAAATATGGATTTATCAGTGGCTCAAGACCAGAATATGGAGACAAGAGTAAAAGGAAAATAAGATTTAAAAGTGTTTATGCTGACACTCACAGTAAAGAACATTCTAGGCCTCAGTAACTCATAGAGTTTCAGAAAAAAAAAAGTCACATAGTTTTTGCTTCATGCTTTTTTGGGGAAACTCTTTATGTCATGGTTTTAGTAATGAATATAGCATGAGCTGCTAATTTTATGCTTTACATAATTTGGAAACTATGATTCAAATCTGCTATCACATGGCACTAAAAAACTGGCTGGGGAATATTAACTGCCATGTACCATGAAAAGATTTTTTAAAATTCCACCAGATGGGTGTTTCAATGATAAAATAAGCCACAGAGTAACACATATTATGTCATCTACACATCTGCAGTCTTGATAAGGAAATAACTTTCTTATTTCACAGTGTAGCCATATGATTCCTGAAGTTTCAAGGCCCAAAGCAGGTTCCCTGTCTCAATAAGAACTAAAGCAAATGTAACAGTTAAGTCACATTAAAATAGATAGACTAGTAATGTCTCTATGGCAGTAGTTCTAAGACATAGATAGAGAAAAGATTGCAAGCCTAACTCAAAAAAATTTGCAAAGATCAGTATAGTCAGTCTTCAAAATTTATGTTTCTAGAGGAAAAAAAGAATGGTATAAGGAACTTTGGAATGTGTTAAAATTATAAAATAAAGTTTCTGATACTCTCTGGAAGAAGCATTTAATTGTTAACAACGTTCTGAAAAATTCAGTTATAGCTATTCAGTTTTACAACAACAGAGAAGTCTAGACTTTCTTTTTATAACAGTAAGGCCTTCAGGAATATTTATGCCTTCATATTTACAAGTATGTTTCCCTTCTTAAAGCAAAGATTTTAAATCTGCATTTATTTTTGATTAGCCCTAAAGCAGGATGAAAACTGGCTGATCCTCTTCAGTACTTATTTAACTAGCAGGAGAGAGATGAAGAGGTTTCCACTGACTCCTAAGATCTAGTGTGGATCCGCATAAACTTCCAAAGAAAAATGATGCTGTATGTCCTTTTCTTCTTCTATCCACTTCAAAGATCTGCATGATCAGAATTACATTTTCTTTGAATATAGTTCACAATTTCTTTCTTCTGAGCAGTATTCTTACTCTTGGCTGCTCGAGAATCATCTCCTGTGTACATCCATAAGATTAATTTCTTTTAGCACTGTGTCTCTATCGCCTCCCCGCAAAAAAATCACCTCCTATTGTATGTTAGACTTGAAAAATGCTATTTATAAACAAAGCCGAAGAGAGGTTTGGTTCAAGAAAGAGCATGGCAATGCCTATTCTATCACACAGGTGAAAGACCAAAGTTATTTATTTGTTTGTGCAGCCAACGGGGTTTGAAGATGATGTTACTCAGACCATCTGATGGCCAGAATGGAGCTGATACTCATTCTGAACTTGGGAGCAGAGATTAGGAGGTACCAGGAATCTGGCAGGAGGACTTGGAATGTATTTTTTTCTGGCTCCCATTATTGCCACTGCTTGGCAACGTCACTGCTGTCCAGACTACTCGACCAGAGGAAAAAGAGATGTAACCAGACTCTTCTCAGAGGTGCACAACAGTGGTAGGACAAGAGGCAAGAGACACAAGTGGAAACAGGAGAGATTATGATTAGATGTTACGAAAAAAGAAATGTTACAATGAAACTTCATACTGTCACAGGTTATTCTGGTTGTTGAATCTTCATCCTTGGAGTTCTTCAAGACTTAACATGGACCTGAGCAACCTGTTCTGGCTAGACCTGTTTTCAGCAGACTGTTGAACTAGATGACCTCTAAAGGTACCTTTCAACCTTAATTTTATGATTCTATAAATCCCACTAAAACATTGTGAATATAAGCTCCTTACTGAAAATGCCTTCTGATCTATGCTATTCCCTGAACAATGTCCCAAAAGAGTTGGCCCAGCCCAACACTGTCAAGAAGAATGAAGAGCCTTAGACTGCACAGGCCACTAGCCAATGCTCAAAATCATTTTTGGGCAATATCTAATTTACTAGGCCATAGGCAAAGGTTTTGTGACTCACAGACGGTCTCTTTGCTCTCCTGCTCTCACAGTGAGCTGAACAGGAGCCACTAGGAGCTGAAGAAATGTTCAAGAGACTGAATCATCTTCTCTATCAGTTAGAGGTATCTTACTACTGACCACTGTCTTCAGGCAGAATAAGGCAACGTTGGTCAATGCTTCTGAACTTGGCCAGGAGAAACCACCCTGAGGAAGCCATGAAACAATAGCGAGCAGAAACGTCATGGGCATAAGAGATACAAATTTTGGAGTCAGGACAATGGAAATTCCTCTGATTTCAAAATTCATAACAGAAATTATGAACACAGAAGTCAAAACAAAAAGGAAGGGGGAAAAAAAAGTAGAAGTAATGGTTCCAGCTACCAGCAACTGGAAGGAAGAAACCTCTGTTCAAGGACTGCTTGAGTCCAATATCACATTATCCCCAGTTCAGCAAAGTTCTCAGAAATCTCCCAATAAATATCAGTCCCATGCTTACCTCCCATTAAAATCAGTGAGATTTAGCCATCTGTTTAAGTACTTTACAGCACTGGTACTGCTACAATTAAGATATTCCAATGAACAGTAAATACTAAAGAGGCAATGATAGCTAAACTATGAATAGCATAGAAAATCTCAGTTCTTATAGTGTAACAACTGCAAAACAGTTTGACATCTTGGCTAACAGGAGGAAGCCCAACAAAGGAAACATTAAATAAAATGGCAATTTACTTCTCAGGAATTTTCCAGTTCCCCTTTGCCATTGCTGCAGTCATACCCTGTAGAATTATGCCTCTGTCAAGTGCTTGGCCTTCAAAGAGACAGTGGTGAAATCATTGGTTTGAATCTTCACCCATTAAAAGCAATTTTATGTTGTCATAACTTCACAGGCATCAAGTGAGTTACAACAGCAGAAAATTAGTATAGCATGATTGTTCGTTGCCATAGAAATAATTATGGCTGGACACTATTGCACAAGGGTCACACAGAGACAGTAACAGGCTAACGGACCAAATTTTATGAGATCTAGGCTATTTATGCAGCCCCTTTGATTAACATCAGAAGAAAGCAAACATACGAACAAAGCATTATTACCATATCTCTAAAACCTGTCAATTTACGTAATTGCCCTACCTTATTATAGACAACACTGAGGCCTTCTACAGAATAAGCACTGCATGAGCTTTCCAGGCTGTATTAAAAGGCTTTGCTGCACTGGTCCTCCTGCTGCCTTTTCTCAGAAACACGATTTCTCTGTAATAATATGCTGATTTTCCCATATGTGGGAAAACTAGACCCTTTCTGAACTGTTGGCTGACATCAAGACATGGCTGAGGGCCTCCCCTGCTAAATATAAAGTTAGCTACAGAATAAAGTAAAAAAACAGAGTTCTTTTCCCCTTGAAGTTCAGAATCCTGAACGCAGAAAGAGTGGGCACAGGCCACCCAAAAATTCAAATGTCCACCAGGCTCCAGGTCTTTTTTAATCCAGTGATGAACAGGTGACACCAAGCTTGAGGAATTTAGGAGGAAAAATTGCAATACAATCAAAAACAAGACATTAAAAATGTGTATAATGAGCTTCCATACAGAAGAAGTCACAATAGTATTAAAAAGTAGGAATAGGAATCTATTTACCTTCATATCTCACCACAACTTAATTGAAAATTAGAAGGCTGTTCATCTGATTAGAAGGTTATTCATCCGATGATCATGTTGTGTAAATATTTATTTCAGTAAAATTACTTTCTTGATTTTAGAGAAAAAACATCTATGCATTGGCCACATTCCACAGTAACTTCAGTGGAATTACTTCTATACATAAAGATATGCCCATGCTTAAATTCATAATAGCAAGCTCAAATGCACATTTTGCCAAAGGGATATTTTTTTATAACAAGGTCTCAGCTTAATGCCAGAAATGCAAAGAAGGTCCAGATTTCTCTGAAGTTCAAGTTACATTAACATATCCAAAAAAGGATCATGCATATGCAAATCTTGTTCAAATGAAACTGAAAAGTCATATTTAATAATGAACTTCTGCTGTAGACAGTAACCTAGTACTATGCTAACAATAACTTTCCAGTGCCTGACTAATAATGAAACCAAAGTCTCCCGAAGGAGACAGGGAGGAGGACTTAAACCTTTAACTGCACACATGAATATGAATTTTTTTTTACTTATTCCTAGACAGACTGTATCTTCATTTGTTCTACCAGAAGTCGAATAAGGTTGACCAAATTTTAATATTATTCTTCATCTTTTCCTTTCTCTAGATTCAATAACTATTTCCTGTATAGTTGTCTCTGTTATTCATTAATTATCTAGAAAGAAAATATACATCATTGCACTGGACTGCATGCTAATTATGTACCATTTAAGCACCATCTAATTTTAAATGTATAAGCAAATAGACTAATGGGCAGTGCTGGACACAAGTGACACCTACTCCTGTTGAATGCATTAAATACAAACATAGTGTTTGGCTCCCCATTACTCATCTAGTTTTTCCTAACCCTGTTCTATCTGACAGAAGGATACTCCACCCTATCTCTGTCTTCTCTGCTGATTGTTACAGAGAAAGGGGTCTCCAAAAATGATAGAAGACAAGTGACATATAAGTCAACAAAGCTGGGAAATAATAATAATAATAAGTCAATAAAGTCAACAAAGCTGGGAAACATATCCATTATGGAATCAAAGCTCTTAAAACACACGTGAACCAGGTTCAGTTTACCTTACCCTTTGACCTTGTGCTCCATCTCTTCCGGGTGAACCTGATGCTCCTGGGACACCCTAAACATTAAAAGGAGGATCAGATGATGAGATCTGGTTAACAGAATCCAAGTAAATCACTTTTCAGCGAAAGTTTAGTACATGCTTGTGGACAAATGTTTTGGATAAACAGAACTAGCGAGCTCAAGAATCATTAAGGTTGGAAAAGATCTTTAAGATCATGTCATCCAACTGTCAACTCAACACTACCATGACTACTAAACCATGTCCCCAAATGCCATGTCTGTATGGTTTTTTGAACACCTTCCGGGATGGTGACACCATCACTTCCCTGCGAAGCCTGTTCCAATGTCTCACCACTCTTTCAGTAATTTTTTTTCCTGATATCTAATCTAAACCTCCCCTGGTGCAAATGGTGGGGCCATTGAAAAGATTCCATTCTGTGAAATGAGATGGCTAAACAGACATTGTTAAAATGCACAGGCTTCATACCTCCTCACTACAATCCTCTGTTAATAACATCGACCATTTTGTCAAGTTATGCCTCCTGCACGACTGAGCTGAAAAGGGCTTGATTTCCGACGCCATTCCCATGTTGCAACATCAGTACCTTAACCAAAAAATCCAACTGCTGTTTCTCCCTCTTATTCCTAAAACAGTGTCTGTTACTATATCACCTGAACTCAGCACAGCAATATCAAAGAGGAGATACCTGCCTGGGCAGGACTACAGGTGATGTCCAGGAGTTCCCTGTTCAGATGAAATGCCACCCTCTGGCTCAAGAAGGCTGCAGAGCAGCAGTCTGGGACCATTACTGCAGCGGTCCAGAAGGCTAACAAAGCTGATTTATGAGGTTACCAAAGCTGTATGAGGTTACTAACCCTAGCAGATATGATCTAGAGAGGGCAATCTGGTAACATCCAACAAATACTGGAGGGATATAAGCAGAAGAGAACCATCCAAAAAGGGAAGAGCAAATGATCCTGGAAAGCAACAATAAATTGGAACGCTTCTCCAGGCTAAATACCAGACACCAAACTGAGTAACATTCACGGAATAATACTACAGCTTTTTAAGATACCAGTCTTATGAAAGATGGCATCAATAGATTGTCTGATCCATCCTCCTAGATAATTCCAGGAAGAACCTAATGGGTTTAGGGTGAAGACAAGCAAATGTAAATTATTCACTGTGCCAGCAGAAATCTAGGAATGGACAGTTTCTGAGTATATAGAGATCCAATTTCAGTGTTTAACAAGGTCCAGAAGTCACCAATTGTTCAGGCCCTGAATGATCTGCACACCAGCATACCCTAGATTCCTGATTCTAAATCTACGTTCAAATTCACCCCCAACAACACACTTCTCAGCAGTTTTGGATATGTGCCTTAAATTCACAATGATGTCAGTTCAATATTCAAACTTCACTACTAAGTGACAGGTTAAACAGTAACTTAGGGAATACCTGTAGGCCAGGAAAACCAAGATCTCCCTTCTCTCCCTTTTCACCTGGTGGCCCCTGCAAATTAAGAATCATACATAGTAAATGAAATACATGGTTACTTTCCAATTTTTAATTGTTCCTTTCAGATTCTTTAGTCAAAAACAACTGAACACCAAATATACAGACTATTTTGCAAAACTGCAAATGAAATCTTTACAAATACAGAAAATAAAGAAAATTTTAAAAGACTTCAGAATTAACCTGACGAAACATAAAAAAGGTAACAATTTTCTTTTCTCCTTAAAGGAATCTGTTTCTCTCCAGCCCTCTGAAATATTTCGTCTAATGATGAAACTAATGGATATCTATGGAAACTAGATATGTTTCTACAGCACATATGCAAGAAAAAATATATTTTTCAATATAATAAACTAAATTTAAATAAATTCTATGCAGGAATACATTTTGTCTATGAAATAACTATTCTTAATGTATTTTTTGTTATTCAGCATCATCAAGAATATATAGCTTTGGTAAATCACTTCATTAGATTGGTACAGCAATATCACACAGACTGGGTAAAAAGAAGGAAGTGCATTATACCAGAGTAAATTTTGAAAAAAAAAAAAGTCTAGCCAAAAAAGGTATCTAATCCCTTTCAAGGCTTGTGTGTACTCTTATACTACAGTTGTATATGAAACAAGATCAGTGCTGCTGGTTCAGTATTCTACCAACGTGTCTGTATGATGAAGTTGTGAGACTCATTTCACAAGAGCATTAAAAGCTCCAGGCCTAATCATCTCCTCTGATGACAGACTGCAAGTCTAGCAAATACCACTGCTTAATTTTGGCAGTGAACATGGTGTTCTTGCTTGGGTACACCTTCCAACTCAGAACTGACCTGTGACGAGCAATAACACAACCAGGAGAGTGTAAAATACCAGCAGTTCAGTTTGGGTCCAGGTTACAACCCCCACTGCGATTTCTTTCACTTGTCTCCAGGTTTGGATGCTAACACCGGGGTCATATCCAACTTGTGATCAAACCCCTCCAACTAACTAAAAGTTCAAACCCAAATACAAACAGGTACATTGGCACTGAATCCAAGCCTCCTATGGGTTAAACCCAAATCTGTGATTTCATCTCAAATATTGAAAATTAGATTCTGTTCATGACACCAAAAGATATTTTGGCCTAGCCTAAGGTATGTGATGTTCAAAACACAACGAGAAAGAACCCTGGTGATTTTATAAGTCTCACAGGAAGCCCTTGAATAGAAAGTCCACTGGGTCCTTGTGGTCCTGGAGGTCCTTGTGGTCCAGGAACACCAATTTCACCTCGAGGTCCATCTGGTCCCTAAAGCAGCACAGGACATAAGTTAAACTCTTATCATATGGACAAAGGCATCTTCTGTTTGAAGATTAAAATACCAATAGACTCAAAAACATCTGAAATATGGGTTAACATTTGACTGAGCAGTTAGGGTTCAATTTAAAACTGCGTGGTTCTTCTATAAACACCAAAAAAATGATGATTTATGCTGTGACAGAAGCATTCTGAATTTTCTATCTTTTATCAAGGAATAAACGGCACACGCCAATGGCATTTCACTGTGCTTTTTCTCGGCGACATCAGAGACAATCTGGAATACGTTTCAAGGTTTACATGCAGGAGGGATGAACAAAAAACTTGTACATCTGTCAACTGTAAAGTGCTGTACTAAGTACCTTTGGACCTGGATCACCACGATGGCCTTTGGCACCCCTGACACCTGGACCACCCTGTGAAGCACAAGCACAGGACTTGCTGAAAATCAAAATTCTCAAATAAAAAAATCCAGAGAAGCCCAAATAGTTGAGGTTTTTTCATTACTGAATAAGTGTTCAGGAATCAGTGAATATCCTTCAACTGCAGTAATTAAACTGAGAACACATTTAAGCGTGGCCATACACAGGAACAGATTTAAACACAGATGTGACTATTTTCTAGAGCCAAGAATGCACACCACATAAGCATCAAAATAACACTGAAAGCTACCACATGGATATAAATGTACACAATGTCTCAGGAGTTCTCCTCCAGTTTCTGAACTGTTCTGCACAACTGTCCATTCTCCCCAAGATCACCACATTGTTAAAGACTGAGTTTCCAATGACTCAGGAACATTTTTTCAGTCAGAACAACTCCAGAATCTCCTAGACTTACCATGGTTTAATTTAGAGCTACTCTTAAGTAAAACACTCTTTTGCCCATTTTTCTCTTTTTTGCTTTCTTCAGTGGTGCCTACATCTGTTAATCATTTATTAACCAACCGCTGCCTTTTTTATTGGTGTCATCTGGAGCTGCATATATCTATGGATGGCTGCCATGAACATATTTTGCATATACATATGCTGGATATGCTTTGTCCTCTAGGAGAGCATAAAGAAAAATATGTTGGTTTTTTTTTCACTTTTTTCACATCAATTTCCATCTTACTCCATATGAATATATTGCTTAACCTCTTGAGATATGACCTTTAGAGGGATTCTGCCCTTCTTCGTACTCAAAAAAGACCTTGTACAAGCAGGCACCATAACTGAATAATGTTCTTTAGAGGCTGCAATAAATACTTATAAAAATAACAGGAGTTACATTACAGACAATAAAAAAAAAGAAAATATGCTCATTAGATTAAATGTATATGTAGTATTTATGAAACTTTAAAGATGAATGTCAATACAGAACCTTTTGGAAGTACTTTTGCTGTTCAGTGAAGGTATCATGAGACAATCTTCATATGTGTGATCACAGAGCAGTTTTCTACTCCCTTCCCCAGCTCTTTCAACCTTTTCACTTCCATCCCACAGCTCTGTGGCCAAGACCCATTCCATCATGGTCAGTCCAACCCTAAAATCTCATCCCACACTCTCCACAGAACCACCGTTCCAGCTGCCAGTTCCCAAATTCCAGGTCCTCATATTTCTGCATTCCAGCCCAGTAGCTTCCCTCTGCCCTTTCTCCTGCCTCTGCTTGTCTCTTACCTCTCTCTCAGATTAACAATTCCTATGCAAATGTTCAGCAAAATAACTGCAACTTTTTAACATAAATAAAATCACTCTTTTCTCCCATTTTCTTCTCAGAGACAAATTCCTTTTTTTTACTAAGTAATGATATATATTTAAAAATAGCTCGATGATGAGCTAAGAATTTATATGCTTTAGGATGCACTCTGAGTTTGGCAGAAACTCAAGCACAAGTAAAAGCACGAGTTCCTGAAGAGCACTGATTTGATCTGAAGACGTCACTAAAGCCTCTCTCATTTTTTGAATAAACTTGTTTGGTGGTTATTCCCTAGCATTATTAAGCTCATGTGACTAATTTTAAATTTTCCATTTCTTTGGCTTCTACTTCTAGACAAGATTTTCTACTATGCCTTTTTTCCCTTATTTTAAATAACTTCTTAATAGCCAGTACTTTCCCCTAGAAACAGTTCTTAATCAACTGTTAGCAAGTCACCTCCTTATTTCTTTTTAATAATCATAACCCATGAAGCACTGAAAGATTTTCATTGCAATTAAACTTCTCTGGTCTTCCAGTATTCATCATCTCCTTCCTCATCTCCAGTTCTGCATCACTCTTTTCAAAATGCAGGCACAGGGTTTTGTAGTATCTTTCTTTCACTTTGCATGGAGAACTTCAGAGAGCAGATCAAATTCTGGCAAAGATTAAGCCATTAAAAAAGTATCCCATCATGAAACCTGCCAGATAATCTTGACTCTAAGTGATATTTTGTCTTACCCTAAAAATTGCCCACTTCCTAATAGAGTTTAAAAATATATTTCCAAAGATACTATCTCAAACAAATGGAAGCCTTTTACTCTGGTATTTTAGTCTAATGTCTAAAACTGGCTACATGGTGGAATCCTGACCCCTTAAACACAAAAATCCTTGGCTTGGAGAAAAGCCACAGGACATTTTAATGACTTGGAGCAGTACTGACCAGAAACAGCACATGTGACTTTCTGACTTTTGGTTGGCGCAGAGACAAACACCGAGTTTATTCTTTTGCCTTGCTTTTTCCTAGACCTCTTAATATTTTTGCAGAGCTATGCCATCTGTCTGGCAAAAAAAAGTATTTCTTATAAGAAGCTGAGTTCCAGAATCACACACTCCCCTGCCTAGGCAAGGATTTTTCTGCCTTATTTTAAACTTCCTCTTGCACAGCACTATGCTACTCAAAATATTGTTAATCCTAAATGTAATAAATAGAAGTACATTATTTTACTGCTGGACCAACATTTGGCAATTCCTGATCTGTATATGTTTTGAACCATAGTAACATACATCCTTCCAGTCAAATAATTTCAATTGCATTTTTGTTTGAATTATCCCATTGCCTTTTTCACAGAACATAAACTAGACACCTATATACAGAAGTTAAAATCTTAATCCATACTTGATTCATAATGTATATTCGAGTAAGAGAACAGAATAATTTTTCCTTGTTCGAGATCCACCACTTCAGTGAGTTGCTTTTCAAGTTTTTGTACCAGAACTCGAGGAACGTTTCTTGCAGAAAGCCTGACACCTGAGTTGTTACTGGGATCTGTGCTAGGATCTACAAAAGAAATGTCTCATCCGCAAGTTAATTTCATTGTTGAACATATCTGTATCTCATATAATTTACTTTAATCTTTTCATAAATTTATTTTCCTTCGTATTCCTCACTGGCTCCTTCTCTTTGAAAAATTCTCTTGAAGTATCCAGGACACAGTATAAGCAGAGAAACATAGTTCAGAGTTGTTCACAAGAGGGCACAAGCCAACTTAGCAAGAAGGCCTAAGATGCCAATCAGAGTTATCAATCTAGTTGTATAATGAAAAACATGGGACTATTCTACAAACATCCCAGTCAGGATTCTCATTAGACGAAGCCAAAATTAGATCTTTGCAAATAGAACCTACAACTCTTCTAAGCTGCTAAAAATCACCTCTGAGATGCGAGATTAAGTTATCTCACTTTAACAACTCATATCTCAGTTGTCTGGTCTGATCCATTGTCCGAATTCTTTCACAAGCCAGTAAAGAGAAAGCAGCTTTATCCCATCTTTCTAAGATACTACACTGAGACAGAAGTAAAGCTAATTAATTGTATTCTAGAAGAGACCTATCTAGTTCCATGGGTTATGCAAGGAATTTAGATATACACTTACTCAACATTTATGTGGTAAACATGTACATGATAGATGAGTGCTATAAAAGCCACACCACAAAGTCCAGCTAAAAGCTGTGAGAGTGTATTTCATCATTTACTGGCAAGCTAGAAAAAGGTTCGATTCAACTTTCACCAAAGCCAGCTCATTTTATCCTCTCTCCCCTTCAATTCTTTTGGGTATTGCTCTGCCTCTAGGAGCTCTCAGAAGAATGAGCACTTTCAGTTCTGCTTTCCAATAAACGTTGTAACTCTTAGGTTAGGCTTTTAAGATAGGAAAGTCTCATCTTTTATCACATACAGGGCACTGCCACATCCAATACCTTTACTTCATAAGCACGTTGTAAACTGATCATTTCAGAAATCTAAACTCTAAACTACATTTAATACACATGCGCTAGAGTAGACAGTTAGCAGGTAATTAAAAACAGAAACCAAACAGCACTATGACATATCTACTAATGCTGCAGAGAGGTAACAGAGCCAGGGTCTAAAGATGACCTTAACTGCTCCAGGTCTAGATTAAACCATCGAAAATTTGACTGAATTCTTAGGTGAGGAGGTTATTTGCAGCACATTACTTATCATCTTTGCTATAAATTTAATGTAATCTTTATATCTCTGCCAACACTTAACCCCCTGATTTAACCTGATTCAGTTATACAATGGCAGTACTTTCACATGTTTTGAAATGAAGGGTGGCCAGTGGACTATTCGGTACAGTTGACTACAAACGTGAATAAAACCTTACCGGTGGTCCAGGAGGTCCAAGCGGACCCTTATTGGCTTCTGAACAGGAACAAGCATGAGGAAGGGCAGGGCAATTTTCTTCATCTCTCTAAGGAAAGATCAAGATAGGAAGAGTATAATGTCCACAGACCTGATTGAAAAGTTACGAATTTTATGAATCTAAGACACTGCACTGTGTGGATGCCTCAGAAGTGCCTCAAAAGCGATTCAGAAACATAGATCACATGGACTTTCAATAGGACAAGTAGTTCAAGCAGACTAAGGCTTTTCTGAAAACGCTTAAACCATCCATTTCCATTAAAACATTTGTCTCACTAAAGGAGAAAGTAAAATGTAAATTCTACAGTTATTCAAAGAGGTTTCTTACCAAGCCAGGAAGCTCACAGCATTTGTCTCGATTGGCCCATGAGGTAGCACAAACAATGTCAAACATCTGTAACTGCAACTGTTTCAAAAAACAAGGGTGATGTACAAGATGACTGTCAGTAATAAGATCGGTGCAAAATGGAGCCATCAGCAAGAAAAGCTACCTTGATTCAAGCACTTGGATCAGACAGAGGAAAGGCTAACGACTTCAGGCAGCTAGCCACAAACACACTAACTTAAATGGTCAAAGGCTTGTGTTCTAACCAAATTGTCTGAACTACCAGACCTTACATGGATTGAGCAAACTGCTCAAGGTTAAATGCTGCAGGAATTTGCTAGATTATCCCCACCTCCTGGATTAAATTCCTGATTTAGCCCAACAGTGCCTCCATTTTTCTAGCAAAGGAGGCATCAAGGGACAGGCAAAAGAGCTCATCTTCTCAAAACTGAATGATTTCTCTTAACCCACTGGTACAGCACTCGTATTTCATCTGGAACAAGGTCTCCTGTAGCCTAGTACTTACACTGGAGCTGAGCCACAAATAATATTTATCATCTTCTCCAGTTTTATTTTATTTTGGAATATGCCCTCTCTTATCCACGTTATCCTCAGATAACAAAAGTTTAAGGATGGTGAAAAGCTTGCTCAACACATGACAACATTGGGCAGAAAATTCCCACCACAGGTCTGGGAACATGGTTGGGACAAGAATTTAATCTACAAGAACGCGCACATTTGGTAAAAATAATGTCTGTTAGGTACTCGGAAACAATATACTAAATAGGACTCAACAGCTAAACCCAATTATCTCCTTCACAGCCTTGAACTGAACAAAGGGGTCTAAGGAGATGAAGCTTTCTTCTGTTACTATTTCTATCTTTTTTCCATGCCTCATTTATGTGCGTACTGAATAGTGAGGGGAATGGAACAGAATCTCTCATTAAATTAACCCCACATGTTAAAAATGGGAAGAACTGCTAGAGATAGAACTCTCTTTGGTTTTGCTCCCATTATTCTTTTCAGTGGCATTATTTTAACACTAGAACAGAGGAGTGAATTTAAAGACTTTCTTAAAACTTAATTGCTTCTAAAGCTGTTAAAATGAGCTACATATGTGCACCTCCAGTTTTGCCACGTTTTCTTTTTCTTATATAAGTCAACTACATTTTAAACAAAGGGATACTTTCATATACATAGAAATTCTTCTCATCTGCAAACAGATTAGCCGGTTTGCAGATAGTCTGTACTACAGATGCAGACACATGTGAGGTGGCTCCATGCTAAACACCTAATACAGCCAAAGTGCAGCATGAAAGCACCTTTTGGGCCCTTGGTTTGGCTCCACAAAGGTCTATCCCGAGTCCAGCAGGCCCGTGTCTCTGGCTGTGTCAAATGCAAGTTGGATCCATGCAGAGTCACAGAGATGCCTGTTCACTACACACCTCAGATCTACTAATTGTGGGAGAACTCATTAGCCTGAGCACAGTAGCACATAAACATGCATGAATGCTCTGGGCCTCAGAATGACCCTGGGTATTTGCAAGATACCACACTTGAGCAAGTAAGACATCTCAAATAAGTGTAGCAATGCCTGAGCTGGTTGCGCAGAAAGCAGCTTAGGTTCAGAAGCAAGTAATATTGCCATTTTTTTCCCTAACACAGTCCATCCCAAGCTACTCTGTTATTCTCAACAATAGAAGGTTGACAGTATCAGCCAAGTTTATGCAGTCCTACACAGGCACATAAATGCATTCATCTTCTCTGGATTGGACAATCTAGAGATCCACAGCAATAAAGCATGTTGGTGTAAAATAAAGAACAAACAGACATTCCCTGAATTGCCGTATTCACCATTTGAATGTTGAATGACTCAGCATTCTTATTTTAAAATATTATGTGGGTTGCTCTGACTCAAGCTAAATAACTAAACAAAGCTTTCTTTGCTACCGTTAAACATTTATTCATAATTCTTTATATTCACAGTGATTTTAACTTCTAGGTATCCACCCAGGAAGCAGAACCAGTAAGATGGAAAAGTTTGCCCCTCCTCATCTTATGAGGCCACAGTTCTGCAAAGATTTCTTGAGACCAGACTGCATCACACATTACCTTTTTAAACATTATATATACACAGAGGTAAACAAGTTAAATTTAAAAGCAAACATCAGTAAAGAACAGGTTTGTGAATTGCAAATAAGCAACATTTTAAAGATGGACTTTTCATTAAATCTCACCAAAGGAATAAAAAACGTTACTTACTACATGTCATGGTCACATTTCATTACTCCAGCTGGCTGGAGTGTCTAATTCAGAGGTGCCTCACTGTTAAGGGATGTTAAAAAGGCTACACACTCTTAGTCTTACCACCTTTTTGTCCTATCTATATTTTTTTCTGCCTGTTTGTTGAAATGTTCACATCATATGCACTGACAGGAAAAAAAACTCAGATACAATTATATTCCCTTGAAATTTAAATGTTTCGCAAAATGCAGGTGATTAACTGGATTCATTTATATATATTAAAAAAACACCACTAAAAACATTCCAATAATGTTAAACTGTCCCACATGACTACAATCAGATCAAAACATCCATTTTATTCCAAAATAGCTGCCTTCCTGTTTTTGTTTTATGTAATAGCCATCTCTAAAAGTAAGATTAAAATATTTAATGAAAATGCAGCTGATGAAGAAAGAACTTTTCAGAATTATCAACAAACCTCAATTTTCGTAAGAACGCAGAACAATTTTCAAAATGTTTTGCAAGAAGGAATTTTTGTTGTATGCATGCCTTCATAAGCCTCTTAAAACTGTGAAGACCCAGTAATGGAATAAATCCCAGTGTTCCATTTCCAGCTGTGGCACAAGTGATATCTAATGAAACACAAGGGTGTAGTTGCACTCCCACCTCTCAATCTACCAGCATCCAGTGGCTTTCAGATCAGGGCTTTCCTGCCCCAGTTTTGTTAACAAATGCTTATTTCCCTTTCATTCATACATTCAGGCTTCTCTACAATCTATATAAATGTTTAGCATGCACAAAACTCTATATCAAGGAGCTGCACGGATCTACTAACTGCTGTGAGGAGAGCCTCTATCCTGTCTCCTACTGGCTTCCTCTAAATTTTGGAGTGGCAGAAACCAACTTATTCATGCCTTAAATTCACACAAGTTCTACTTGATAAGAATAAAATACGCAAAATTTAAAATTTAAAGAATGGTATATTGGTTCTTTCTTGATCTGCTTGTAATTTGGTGTATGTGGCAAGACTTGAAGGCAGCTAAACAATCTATGGAGTAAAGAATTTTCATCTTCAGCTACACATTTGTAGTCTTACATCAGTTTTACAGTTCATTTGAACAAAACCAAATTTTTCCATGAGTGGGCAGTCTAACTTATCTTTTATAGACTCCTGGGTTCTAACAAAAGCCACCATTTCTTTCCACTTCTTTACAAAGCCTTCTCTAATTCCAAGATTTCCTAAGTTTGCCATTTTCTGTTTCTATTGGAATGTGACTACAAAGGTTTCTCTGTGTAATTGTCTTTACAGGCTTGATATAATTATTATCCATAAGTTTGAGGCCTAAAGGCTCTTTTTGTACACAGAAATATATTCTGAGGGCTTATTTTTCACTAAACAAGAATTTTTCCATATAGTAGCAAGCAAACACATTTCTGAAACCTCAATCCTATTCAGATCAAGCCTTGAGTTCAAGGTTCACATTCTCTGCTAACTTAATTCTAGGGTCAAGAAAGTTCAAAGAAAATTAGCAAATGGTACTGTACGCCAAAGAAGCCTTGCCAAGACCATCGCCAGACTTTCAACTCTTCTTCAACAACTAAATCTATCTGAAAAACCTCAAACAAGCCTTCTTAATGACAACTGAAGCAAAATTGAAGGACTCCCATAGGTTGCAAACGGAACGATCAATTAATGCTTCTAGGAGAATAACTTCAGATTAAGGAAATAGTGCTAATCTGAGGGAAGATCTTTCACATTTAAGATATTTTATAATATAAAAGAACTAGATATACCAAGATAGGGGCTTTGGGAGGATCATCTGTGTCAAACCAGTTCAATTATTTAGTGAAGAGATTATGAGCTTGGGGACAAACAGAGAGTAAGAGGAAGTAAGACACAATGGTAATAATTCTCACTCAAAATAAAGTTTAAATTATGCCAGGTAAAGGAGTTATACATTGCATTACTCTGTGTAATGAATTTTGGAACATAAGTCATATCTGAATGTATAAACTGTGTTCACATATGTGTTTGAAAATAAACATTTGAACAACCATGATCTAGTGATTTCATTTATTAAAATCGATTTTTCCCAAGTTGACAACTATTGTAAGCTTTTACAGAATTTCTGAAATGCTAGAACTTCACAGCTTCAAATATGAGTTCACTCTGCTTCAATTTAAAACTAACTGCAAACACACCAAACACTTGGGTCTAGGATATTTTAAATAGTTTAAAGAATTGTTATACTCACTGGTGCAGAGTTGTCTCTCGGTCCTCTGGATCTGACCATTCTCCCCAGCACTTCTATGCCATCAGAACTAATATTACCTGCGGCATTAATGGTCTTCTCACTCACTTGCTTGCAGTCAATAATTATTTTGGCTGTAGTCTTGCTGATAACAACATGCAACTAGGCAAAAGAAAAAAGTGCTTTAACATACAAAGGAGCACATAGGATACATTAATTTCCTAAGAAAAGTGGGTGCTTTTTGAAATGAGTTGCTAACTCCATGTTTGATAACAAAACTCAAGACAATAATCCACAGCAGATAATCTAGATGACCTCTAGGGGTCCCTTCTGACCTGAATTATTCTGTATGGATTTAGTTTACAGAACAATTGCATACAAATTGACACCTTAGATATTTTATTCAGTAAGAGAATAACTTGCCTCTGACAAAAGATCTACATGATGATCATACACCACCCACATCCCATAATAATTCCCAAGCCTTGTAAGATCCTTTATAGCCACTTGCAAAAGCCAAAATTAAGCAGTAAAATTTAGCCTGTGAATTACACATTAACCATGCAGCAAATCCTTTCAAGTGAAGTTCTTACACTGAAAAAAAAAAAAATTTAAATCACACCAAATGCACTACAGAAAAGTAGAGCACAGTAACAAAGTGACTCCCTTCTGCTGTCCATCACTGACGCAGCAAAGACGTTCCCAGAAGAGGACATTCCTAGCCACAACTCTCCTGTCATGAGTAAACTCCCAGTTAAGCAAAGAAAACAGCAATTAGCAGGGGGTGGGAAGACCTGATGAAGAGCAAAGATGCTCTGTACCGGTACACTATATGACTGGACTCCAAAGTGGGAGAATTCCAGGAAGAATCATAGAATCATAGAATGACCTAGGCTGGAAGGGACCTTAGAGATCATCTAATCCAACCTCTCTGTTTTTGGCAGGGACGCCACCTCTCAAATACACCTGGCAACACATGGGGACCGAGTGGGAATCGAACTCACGACCTCGGTGTTGATACTTGTTACCAGCACTGTACTCAAACCACTGAGCTAACCAGCCCCTAAGAAGTCCTGTAGCTGCTTTGCTCTGGACTCAACTGGAACTAAACAACTGAAAAGCTGCTATGAATCTGAGTAGAGACTAAGACCCCAGCTCTCACCTACCTTCCCTTTCTCTCTCCATCAGTTAAAGAGGAAGTACAGAAAAATTAAGCTCTGTAAACACTACCCCTCATCCACAGTCTCCTTTCGTCCGTTTAGGAAAAATACAAGCATCAGGAATAAAGGGAAATAACAAAAGCACCTTCCACAACAAATGTGCTACAATCCCAGCACTCCTTCATTTGCTTTCGGAAAGAATGTTAAAAGTTCCCTAACAGCCAAGAAAAGTTCGACAAGGCATAGCCCTTAAAATATGCTTAAAAATAACAACTCTGGCCAAAAGAAGGATATTTTTTTTTGGACTTTTTCTTTTCATTTTGAGTGACAGTTCCAACCCAAACCTTAAAAGGAAAAGCCAATGTATTTCTAAATTACTTTTCATGGCAAGCATTTTCAATCAACTCTAAAATACAAGCGTAAAGCATGAGATGAAAATTGATCACATCAGCTTCATCATAAAAACTATAATTTGTTTAATGTATAATTCAATATTACAGAGAGACAAGATGGTTTGGTAGATGTTTCTGAAGTTGCACAATACATTTCTTTTGGCAGGAGCCGACCACATGAAAGAAGATTTCAAAACATTAAGAACTCCAAAACCTTTATTCAGAGCATTTTTTTTTTTTACCCATTACCATTACTAACCTTATGAAAACTCCCATAAAATATCTTCCTTATTTCAGGGCCTTCAAAAGTCACAGTTTGAAAATCTCCTTTGTAGTCATAATTAAAGAAAGTCAAAGTTTTACCACCATCTGTGTGAGAATAAAAATAAGGGCTCTGTGTTAGAGGATCATACCTGATCATACTCTTCCGCTAGATCTCTGTGGGACTTGGACAAGAAAAGGGGGGACAGATCCTCAAGCTAGCTAAATGTGTATTCCCTACCTATTTCAAGGTGAGGTATCTAAAAAATTCTAGGTAAGACAGATAGATAAATGCTAATATATCTCTTTTAAAACTGGCAGCTAGAAAGAACAGCTATCACAGGATCTACATCTTTTCAACAGTAAATATGGAAACATTCTACATTATAATCTCCGTTTTACAGATGTGGAAGTCAAATCAAGTAGAAATACAAAAAGTCGTGAAGAATTCATGTGTCTAGTTCTAAGCCTTCTACCCACCAGACTGCCTCTACGCATACCATACTGTCAGTACCACCAGTATGTCTCAAGATAGATTCTATTAGAAACAGATTCAGAGAAGTGGAAATTTCAAAAGCAAGTGAGGAGCTCCCTTACATCAATTCACATCTTGTACAGCTCTTTGGATTTCAGTATATTTTCTCCCAATGTAGAGCAATGCACTCAAAATGTGACTCTAATTGCAAATTAAACTCAATTAAATGAAACTAAAAAATATCCACTAGACACTATCACCTCAAGATTCAGGTAGTTGTTCTGGCAGCAGATAAAACATTGGCAATAATAAATCTAGACACAGAATGAATCATCTTTACAGTTAAAGTCAGTGGTAAAATACAAAATACATACTATCTAAAATAACTCCAACCAGTGGTTCATATGCTTCATTTAGTATCTCCCAAAGAGCAAATGGCTCCTGAGGTGTGTCGGGAAGTATCCGAAACAGAAATGTAATGGTGTAATCAGAAGGGAGACCTTCAGGATGCAAATACCTATAAGAGAAATATTGTCAAATAAATCTGGTGATTTGTTCACCAGATGTTCACTTATGTTTTCTATTACTCTGCATATTTCTACAGAAATCTTCGGAAATCAAGACTAAGAAGCAATATAAACGTTTGCAACATCTACTCAGCTTGATAACTATCAAAAGAATACTTATGAAGAAAGCAGAAGTTGTCTTTTCCTCTGAAATTTAGATGATTACCTTTATTGCTTTTAATTTGAAGATATTTGGACAACTGTCTGAAATGACTGACTGTATTTTCAAAATGTTAATTAGCCTGATTCCTTAAAATCATGGTAAAGAGATCTGAAATAAGTCTGAAGAGGTTATTTTAAATCAATCTCTTTTCTCCAAATATGATACACCCCTTCTAAACTGTTTCTGGCACATATAAGATGTATAGATATGAATCATGCTGGAAAAGGAATTAAATGTGTAATGTAAACAACAAATTCTGCAGTATTCCTGTAGATGGCCAAACGTGGTGTTACACTGGATATGTCCCAAGGAGAAAAGAGAGAGGGAGCTCAACAGGAGTAAGAACAAAGCCTTATGGAACGCCCACTGCACAAAGCACAGATGAAAGAAAATTCAGTAAGCAGGATGGGAGAAATACAAGGTTTGAGGATACTGAGCTCAAAAAGGAGAAATACACGAATGAGAGTCAGTGCACAGACAAGAGGACAGAAACAAGTGGGTATTATTCAGACGTACCTGTAGATCATCATGAGAAAGGTATTCTCTGAACCATGAAAGGGAGTGAAAGGCTAACGAAGCAGTAAGATTGGACTGGGGTGCAGCTAGAGAAGAGCACATAAATGCAGCAAATCCCATTAGAAAGAAGAGAAAGGGAAAAGAAATGCTATTCCCTGGAATATTCCTAGTCCAGTCAGACCCAGGAGGGAAGTAAACAGGGAGCATGTGAACCAGTTTCAAGAACTACAGCTCCAACTGGGACACAACAGGATAATCACACAAAAAGAGTAAGAAGACATCTAATATAAACCTTAAAGAAAAATAGTGGGAAATTACTGTTCTTATTTATCTCAGCTAAAGAATACTTTTTGTTACATTTTCCCATGTTTAATCCAGCACAGTCACTGCTTTTCTCCTGTGACAGTACAGTGTGGAGGACTGGAAACCTTAACAGTAATTTCCCACTATTTTTCTTTCTTATTTATCTCAGCTAAAGAATACTTTTTGTTACATTTTCCCATGTTTAATCCAGCACAGTCACTGCTTTTCTCCTGTGACAGTACAGTGTGGAGGACTGGACGGAGAGGAACCAAACACACTGTACACACTGCTCATAGAAGAAATGGAGAGTTTCCATCACTTCCCCTCCAAGTAATGACTGTAAAAGTTGGAAGGGAAGTTTCTTCTTTGCCTCCTCCCTAGCTCTCCCAGGACACAGTTCTTGTGATTCAATTATGTCCTGTGTCCCAGGAAGGTACTAGACAGTGTTCATACACACCCGTTTCAGCACAAGGAGCTAATCTTCCTTTGTAACCAATGCATGGACATAGACTGATGCAGAAATGACTGAGGGGACCTAAAGCAGGTTCCCACTGACTCAGACTTCAAAGACGTTCTGCACTCTATGAGACTTCAACCTGCTTTCAAGAGGCACCATTCATAAAGCTTGACATGCTGGCATCTGCCAGACGGATGTCCACACAGAATTGCTTAGTGCTAAACTGGCTCACGTGGGAAACCTGACATACCCAGTGTGCTTACCCACTTCTACCCCCAACTGCTATTTTTGAATGAAACTGATTGAGGACTCAGGATACCAAACACTCTTCCTATTAATTAGTAAAATGTAGATATACAATAGCGTCTCTGCTCTTCTGATGTGAAAATACTGTTCCCTGAAATGAATAACTGTCTGCACTGGACAATTAGTTTCACGTGTTTTATGAATATTTATATGTTTAATACATACTTGGTAGGCTGTGATACCAGAGCATCCTTGTGCAGTCTGTAGCAAGGGTAAACATTAAATGTACCAGGCTCCATTGAAACTCCTTCCACAGTTGAAAACTCCTTTTCAACCAAACCAAACATTTCCATCATTTTAAATCCTGGAAGGCACAAAAAAATGCGCTTTGTTAATTGAAATTCATACGACATTATAGGGGGAAAAAAATGGACAAAACCAGTTGTATCAAAGAGTTTTATATCACCATCTGTTTAACAGCTGTTAGCCTAAAGAGAAATTTATTGTCTAATACTGGGGGGAAAAAAGTAACAAAAACGATTCCATGAATTGGCAAGAAAAATAAACACAAAAATACTGTACCTGCAAAATTGTTCCCATCTTTAACTACCAATGGGCAGGCTGGAAAAGAAGGAAAAATATATTTAAGGATACAAGCTATGTCTCAGTGGGTCAGAAAAAGGACCCACTCAGCCCAGTACTCTATCCCCAACAGCAGCAAGAGGAGAAACTGTTCAGGAAGGGGCCGCAAGCCTGGCCATCCAGTTGATGTTCCTCAGGACCAGCAAGGGTTGCAGCAAAGATGTTAAAGGATATCTCCCTGGGCGTTCCACCCAAAACCTCTTCATGGATCTGTTGGTCACAAATTTGTGTAATCCTTCTATGAACCTGCCTTCACAATCTCCTGTGGCAACAAATTCACTGTTTGCTGTGTAAAAATATCTTATACTAGGTTTTAACCAAGCCTCTCCAGTCTAACTCAAGCTCAAGCTCAATTACGTTAGCTGGTATTTTCAGTACCTTTTCAAACTCCACAACAGCTTTCATGAACAACAGAGACCAGAATTGCACACAGTCCTTAAGATGTGCACGCTTATTTTAAATAGCTGTAAATCTAGTTTTTATTTTTCTCCTGTTAAGGAATAAAGCACATTAATGTCTTCCAGGGAAGGTGCCCTGGTGAATCAAAAAGCCTAGATGCAGGGCACCATATATGGCACACCAGGATACACATATTTGAACATCACTTTCAGAATACAAGCACAAGTGACCAAAAAATGCTACTGTTGAGTATTCTCAACATTCAAAGTGTTTTCTACCATTGAAAGTAGAATTTATGGTCGAAACCAAAGAATCAACCGGGCATAAGGAACACATTTGCATTCACCAGCTCAGATAGCTCTGTCCCATGATAACTCACAGTTCTACGCCCAAGGACTCCTTACAATCACAAATGATTAACATCAGCTATAAGCTGCCTATTTCCTGGCTGACGTATAAGAAAATGCATTGAGGGCACACACCTAAAAGCACGTGAATTATTCACCTCTAACCATTAGGTGTTGCTCCAGAATATCTTTCCCTGCACTTTCATACAGAGTTTGAAGTGTGGCATTTTCACAGATTTCAAAGAGCTTGAGCATGTTTTATGTTTTTCCTTAGGCTACAACTCTTCTAGTTTCTCTGATAATACAAACACTAGTGATTAGCTCTCCATTAATAAATTAGCCATGTGATTTGAGTCATAATGAATGTAGCTAATTCACTCTTACAGATGGTTAAGGTAATGGTTAAGAAAATAAAATGTAATTAACTTTTAATGACTAAATTCTGAATCATTAACAATGTTTCAACTCTAAAATAACTTTCTGACAATGAATGGATGTATTCTGGATTTATAGCAAGCAACCATTAATGATTTTGAAGACACAACACCTTCATTTCCTTAATTTTTTATCGAAATAATATTAGGGTTCTAATATCTGCAGTAAATTATGTTAAAAAGATCAAGAATATATCTTAATAAAAATAAAAAATAGCTACACTCCCTGGTATTTAGAACTTATTATTTTAGAAGTATAAGTCAAAAAGGCTAACTTGCTGATGCAGTTTCGCAAACAAAAGTGATCAGCTCATCTTCAATCTTTGTAAAGGCATCAAAGTCATCCACAAAGAAGACATGTCTTTCACTGGGCTTGCTGCCAATGTTAACTAATTCTGAATAGTCAGCATCAGCTACTCCAATAGCAAAAAAGCTGAAACCTGTAAAACAAAAAAAACTCTTGTGAGTCATTCACTGAGAGCATGGAAATATAATATGAACACAATTCTATTTGCGCTGGCTCCTTTCCTGATTAAACAGAACGGTGGAAATCTTATTATTATCCTATAACACAAGACAATTCATGCATGTAATCTACAATACATGTAATACATTCTCTGTGAAATATTTCTTTTGGCTATTTATGCTTAATCAGTTAATTAAAGTTAATGCTTAAAAGTTTTCTTGAAGAAATATAAGACTACATAGTAGTTTAAAGTCTTATCATATGTTTAAATGCTTTTCTAATTTAATGCCATACTCTAATACGCACAAAAAAATCCATGTATCAGGTATACCATAAATACAAAGCACAGAAATTAATTTCCTGTAGATCTTTTACATATTTTGTTCTGTACCATGTTAATCAGAGTTTTCAAGCCAAGGCTGCCTCATTAGTGAACACCAACATAAATGCATTCTCCTTTCACGAGCACCTTAACCAAACAGTTGAATTCGTTCTATATATTCTGCGCTAATATATTTTAAAATTTGAGCCTCACTTAAAAGATATAAATTAAACGGAAATTGTATCCTATGTATTTGAGGAGAAGAAAACTAGCTGAGAGTTTGTCAACATTTCCCTTTCTATAAAAGATAAAGAAAGAACCTGCCTACACCTGGCTGAAAACTGTTAATGGAGGTACTGCTCTTGCGTGGCTCATTCCCAAATTTACCCCAGTCAAGCAACATTGCCTAAGTTTGAATGAGGCCCCTGGGCATTCATCACCTTCTGCAGAGCTTTTAGCCTAACAGAGCATTGACCTAATATATTGCAGTGGTATCTTATCTCATCCAAGATCAGAACCCCGTCATGCCAACCCGTATCACGGATACAAGTCAGTACCTGCACCAACCCAGCTACAGCCCAAACACACAGCTTACACAAAGCACGTGGGGGAAAGGGAGTCACTTGCCCAAGGTGACACATTCCAGTCAACAACTGAACCCCCACCAGATGCCGTCTCCTCTCGAGGTCGTTGCCAGTCTGATAGTTAATAAGGCAATTGCAAGACTTACCTGACAGTTGATGGGTTTTTTGTCCAGCTTAGACATAGACTCCAATATATTCACAATTATGGTGTTTTCCTGATTACTACTTAAAACAAGTTATACAAGCTCTGGTATTTCGTGATACAATTTTATTTATGAAGGTGCTGCACTCAGTATCTAGCAGTAATACAAGCAGGCAGCCAAGCTCAGTGATTGCACTGGGTTTCAGTGATACACACTGGTAACTTCATAGCTGCCAAAGTCTAAAGGCATAAATAAAAAAGCCCAAATGTAATTTCTTCTTAGATTTCCTCACAATAAAAGAATGAGAGCTCTTTTCTTCCACCTTTACTTCCGTTCCATGTGGCACACTCTGCCCTTTGGGTTTTGATACAAATCTCAGTATCAGACATTTCTACAACAACCAACCCAGTTCTTCTTATGTTAGACTCACAACACTGTGTGACTGCTTAAAGCTCTAAAATTAGTGCTTTAAAACAAATCCCTAAAGGTAATTAGTGTAACATGAGAGGACATCAGAAGCAGTAAATGAAAGTATGAAAGAATTTTCAAAGGACTTCTTGTATAGAAAACAAAAGAGTTTAGTTTGCTGGTAACCACAAGACTATGCTTCATAGATGACAGTGCACATTCTCAGGATCATGTCCCCTAAATTCTTCATCATAAAAGCAGTTTCATTGACTACTACACAACTTCAGCACTCCGGTCAAAATGAAAACTACTAACTTTAAGCACCAAAATAAATCCAGAATCTACCCATATCCTAGTGATATTCTGAGTTTCTCAGCAATCGATGTTTTTATTTAAACTTGGAAAACTTCCCAAGGGCAAAAGCTACCCTTATACCCACACATATGTAGCAATCATTAATGAGAAAAAAGAAAACATGAATATTCTTTAAAACTACAGATTTTACCATCTAGTTGCATTTCTCTGGAGACTTTGTTTACATCGTCTTGTGATCGCCCATCAGTAATGACAACCAAAACCTTTGGAATGCCCCTTCTCATGCCTGCCTCTCCAGTAAACAAGACTTCTCTTGCATGTTTAATGGCTTTGCCTGAAACAGAAAAAAATGGCGACATACTTTCACTACGATATTTCTATACTAAGACAATTTCTATTAGCTTCTCATATCATATGTTAGACATCAATAAAAACAGAAATCTGTTGGGTCCTAAGTAGTCTATAAATTGAGTGTATTCTGCAGTTACTACAATAAAAATTTAGAAAAGTTTAATTTTGACTCAAATCTTTGAAAATTTGATGGCTTCAGCCATCCATTTTTCAATCCAGAAGGTAAAGACAAGGAACATGATGTGAGAAAGGGCATTCTGTGCCGGTTAGAGATAACAAAATCTTCCCTTCCTGGATCATAAGGCACAGTCCAAATAACAACTGGAAGTACCACTGTATTGAGTGAACGGAAAATGTGTTATTTTGATATTACTGAGACCAGATAAAATGCAACAGCTGCAAGAAATTTCTGTGCAGTCTAGGAATAATAAAACATATGGTTTCCAAGTAAAACATATTTTAACCCTTTCAGCACTCATCTTTAATTTCTTCACATCAGAGAACTGTCTTAAGGGATCAATTAAAACGTAACGACATGCAGTTAACAGACATCTTCCCCCAGCCCAGTCTTAAACGTACCACTGAGGCTTCACTGTCCTGGCTCATAACCAAACAGGCTCTCCACTCCATCCACTGTTTTGCTCTGCAAGCTCCCTCCCACTTTTCCACCTGCCGAGCTCATTTCATATTAATCCCCATCCCCCTTTCCACAATCCCCAAAGCCCTTCACTTGGGCCATGCTGCCTCTCTCCCTTCCTCCCTGATCCTTGGCATCACTGCTGGTCAAGGGGCAGTAGGGAGTGAAGGGTGTAAACTGCAGATTACAAAGACTTTATGACTTCAAAGCCTAACCTTTCACCTCCAATGTAGAGATACCAGATTCTCACTGGTTTTGCAGTGATAAGTTAAACCACCTAGCAAATGGGAAAGAAATACTGCACAGAGCGGCAGATAGAAAGTCTCCATCATAACCACACCCTTTCTCACCTGTTTTTGTATTTCCTCCTTTGTAGGCTATTTGCTGAATAGCTTCAAGAAGAGTCTCTTTTGTTTTGTACGCATTCAATTTAAATTCTGTCCTAGGATCATCACTGAACTGAATTATTGCCACCTGTGCACACAGAAGATGTGTTCATTATCAAAGAACTACCCAGTGTATGAGAAAAAAGGTGAATCAGCACATTTAAAACAAGGATTTATCTTGTAATTTTGCTTCATCCTTAAAATAAAGACAATTTTTTTTTCTCTTTAAGAAGCTTTCACTAAATAAAGTTTAATTTTACTGTTTGCAGCCTTGGCAACCATCTGACACTTTCTGTTTTCATTTTGCAGCAAACAGGATGAGAAAAGTAATATCTACTTTTGCAAAAGCACTCTCAATTGAGCCAAAAAACAAAATTCTACTTACAGCTGCTCACACACGTACGGCTACTCATACACAGAATTGCAGGGACTTCATTCAGCCACCACAAATTAATAGCTACACATAAGCAACTTCAGCTAGGGAGCAATGCTCAAGCAAGCAATCGAAAGATGCAAGAACATTCTGAAACATTGCCTCTCCCAAATATACTAAACCTCTACATACACTAAACCTCTACAACTCACAAAACATATATTGAACTTCATATTCTGTAAGTGGTGTCCTTGATTTAAAACGAGCTATTCACAAGATTTGGCTTAAGCTTGTGCACAGGTTTCTGAAGCACCATGGGAAAATAGCTGATAACAAGAAACAGTAAAAATTGAGCATTCATCAGGATTTGGCCAAGATAAAAATAATTTTCAATGCTATCCCAAATTGTATATCACACAGATTACGCTTAAAACAGTGATATATTTGCCAATAAACTTCTCCAGAGCAGATTCAAGCATCCCTCTACACAAACACATGAATAGAACAATTACTGTAAATACTATATTTTATTTCAAACATTGTGGTTTCTGCAGATCATGTGATTTTAAATAAATGAACGTTTCATTTTCCTTATTAATGTCATTTTTACCTTATTTAGAAGTAAACATCACCAATGAGTACCAACACAAAAAACGTTAACACAACTTAAGTCTCATTAGAATGATTTAGAGGACACTGAAATGATACTCAGCCTCCATGCTAGCAAAATTTATATCATGAATTTCTCCATACGGTGTGTATAAAAGAAGACATTTAAAAAATGTTGCTGTAAAGCAGTTTAAATTTTCAGAACTGCAAGATTATGTTGATTACTTTTTGATTCATTTTACTTCTGCTACTAGTCTAAAACACTCAAGTCCATGTGCCTTCCATAATCTTGATTACCTGTGTTCCATCAGGACCAATCTTATCCAAAGCTCCAACAGTGCTATAGAGAAAGCTAATGATTTTATTGAAATTGTCATCTCCAATACTCCATGACCCATCCACCAGGAATGCTAGGTCAGCTTTGGCTGCTTTGCACACTGAGGAAGAAAAGCAAGTATTTTGGAATTAGAGCTCAACTCCTCATGAAATCTCATAAATCACTTAAGAAATTGCAACCATCACGAAAACCCGTTGTTTAACATTACTAATGCTTTAGCAAACCGACAAGCTGGCATTGACTTGAGTGCAGATGTAGAACCAGCTGAGCTCTACAAGGGGTGAATGGTCTGTGCTGACAGACACTACCACAGATTACACTTCAAGGCCATAATGGTTCTTTAAAATGTGGCTATCCTTTTTTGCTTTTATTTAGGCTATTAAGTCAAATCCTACATTAATTTACGCAATCCCAGACTCCTCGCATGACACAGTAAGCAAGACAACAGAAATTCAACTGTGGAGGTTCCCAGTGGGAAACTAATACATTCAGACAAGTTACCCTCAGCTCTGTAGTGCCTGATGCTCACCCTTTAACTGCACTGTTTAGGAGCAATGCAGGTTTCCACTACCTCATCTTAGTTCAGCATTTTCTCATGCAAAATGGCCTGCAGAGCTGCACACCTGCTCACACAAGTTGCTCACTCTTACACAGGAACTGGGAACTTTTAACACTCTACAGAATTCAAGTCTATCACTCAGGGTCAGAAACAAAGAGTCTTGAAGCAAAGTTATGATTTTTCACATATTTCATCTAAATCCAGAGAATAGAACAGCTGGATATGTACCTGTATTTCTCATTTTCTGTTGATTACTCCATGGATTAAAAAAAAAAAAGCAAAACAAAACATCTGCTGCTACGTAGTTCTAAAACACAAACACAAGGTCTTTTTTTCCTGTACTTAACAGATATCCCTGCTCACTGCAGGGGGCTTGGACTAAAGATGACCTTTAAAGGTTGTTTCCAACCCAACACATTCTATGATTCTACGACTAAATTCTCCATTATTGTACATCAGTTCAGACCACCAGCTTCAAGCTGATGGATTTGACTCCCAGTCTCCAACAATAATCCTCCCCTCACAGAAATACTTATGAGACTGTACAAAACACTACACATTCAAATGAGAAAGAGAAGATTACATCTAAAAAGAAACTGAATATGGCCAACACTTTTCTCATTACCTTAAGTAACATATATTTTAAAATCATGCTGCTTTAGAAGTTTAATTATCCTATGATGTTGTAAAAATTGTTCAGTTGTAAAATATGTACAGTTCAGGAGTTCTGGAAAAAGAAAGTCTCACACATATGAACACTCCTTCCTGCTAATTTCAACGATACAATAATGATGTCAGATTTTTGGCTCATTAAATTTAAGCCACCTGCTTTAACAGTGTCACTGTAGCAAATGCAGGTTGAAATCTGATCCTCATAGGTCTAAAATAGCATCAGAAACAGAAAAAACATTGCATCATACCTTAAAATTATTATTATAAACCCACATATGCAGCACCTACCCTCTTTTGCAGGAGGGATTGTAGGCGGGGGAGGTGGTGTTGAAGGTGTTGTTGGCGGTTGAGTTGGAAACGGCACTGGCAAAACAAAAGGAAAGGATGTTTTAAAAAGCCTAAAAGCCTAATATATTGTATCTACATTAAAAACAGCATTTTCTACTCATCTCCACATCTAAAATTCATTATCTCTAATCAACTAGTTATCCAATTGGGGAGAAACATGTGCATGTAATATCCTCCTCTACCAACCACCTGAAAAAGGATAACACTATTACAAAGCAATTAATGGCTGCACTTTAGTGTGATGATACAATGATACAAAGGAACTACTACTAGAACTGCCTCTTTTTGGGTTTCCTCAGCATAGGAGACCATGTAGCAGTGACCCAGTATCTGTAATTTGTTTTGTAAAAGGTCAACATCCTTTTCCTTTCTGACCACAAACAGTCCTTAGCCACAGAAAGTAGGTCTCTATCCACCCTGGAAGGAAGATATTAGACCTGCAATCCAAAATACAAAGAGACTGTACAAAAGCAAGTCAGTGCCTGCACTCAGAGCAGATCACAGCCTGCCCTGATCAAGAGTTTACTGAATTCAGTGGAAGGGCTTGTTATGCTTCCAGCTAAAAATGCAATTCCAACCACAACTCTACAGGGCTGCGGCTTTGTTGCCTGCAGCAACTTCTACTAAGGTTACTATAAAGAGTTTCTGAAAACAGTCTCATCCTTCTCATGAAAATAAGCTTTGGAATGACAACATCCCACAGATCTAGCTGAATACAAGATCACTGATTTACAGCTTTGCTGAATGCAAGAGCTCTATTTAGAGCCTTTCAACAGTCTTGGCTGAATTTTCAGAGATAAAATGCACATGTCTTGACTTCCACAACTGTATCCGAGGAAAAGCTTACATGTTCATTCAAGGACATATTTTTCATTTTTTTTCTATGCAATTAGCCTAAGAAGATACAGGTGACAAAACATCATTCCTTCAAGTGAGACTATGCTTGTTATCTGCTATAACATATAAATTACGTTTATAGAAAATGGATAGAGTTAGGTATGACAACTTTAGAAAAGGCACCTATCCCTGTCTTTGGGAAAGATTTGAGCAAATGGGATTCATTACAAGCCTCATGTCCACATCCAAGTTAACGCCCACTGCAGCTGATGTGGGTTTTCCCATCGGTTCAAGAAGAGAAAGGCACAAGACTCTGAGAAACCTGCAAGCAACTGAAGCCCAGAATCTTCGTGGCCACAAACATACCAAGACCAGACCCATTTAGAAAGCCTCACAACTGCAGTAAGGTGATGTGAAGAGCTGCTCTCTAAGCACCAAAGAGGTACAGGTCACCCAAAGAGTGTTTTCTTCTGAGGTGATAGAACAATTTGTCTTCATCACAAAACATCTTTCTCATATGGACATGTAGGCCAAGGTGTGTTCTTCCTTTCATCTCCTAACTCCCCAAACCGCAGAGTGCGCAAAACACATTCCTTCAAAAAGCAAAAACTTGTCTTGTTCCTCACTGCTGAGAACAAGCCCTGGACAACTGAGAAGTGGAGTCACACAGCTGTGCCAACTTTTTCTATGTGAAACAGTAACTGTGTGAGGGGGTCACAACAAGGAGGAAAATTATAAACACTATCTACCCTGAGAGACCGGTAACAGCACTGTAGTGTAAAGTAATATAGTATGAGAAGGGTATCACTGAGATTGAAAATGGGCTCAAAGAAAGACAGATAATGTTAAAATATTCACTCTGCTCATCCTGTATTTTGTTTTGCAGTATTTTGAACTCATGAGACCAGGACCTTGCCTTCCTAAACAACTATGAGGGGTTTTTTTGCCTGACTTCTGTTATTGAGAAAAATGCATAAGTAGATTGGGTATCAAGGTCCCATTTCCCTGTAAATTACACAAACAGTGGTGAAATTTTACTAAATAACCAAAGCTACATGATACAAAACTTTCTTTGTTGCTGTGTTTGCTTCATTTTTCCAGACTTTTTTTTCCAAAGTCACAGATGTTCACCTAGTGGGATTCTTCATGAAGAAAGCTCTGTGCTTCCTTCTCATTAAGAAGTCCAGTACAGCTGATGAATATTACTTCACAAGTAGTACACAGCAGCAGTGTAAGAATCCTGCACCTCTATGGAGGAGTCACAATGTATTTGGAAAATTAAATACTCAGCTAAAGGAAACAATGTATGAATATCCCATTTGTGGGCAAAGGGCAAAACATCAGAAGAAATCTGACATTGTAGCTGCTGGCTGAACTCTGATCAATTTTACTTACGTGTTGTCTCCATGATGCTTACAGCAGGGCCCTCTATCTCCTGAAGCTGTGTATGAACACTGATTTTATATTCAGTTCCAGGCATCAGCTCAAAGAAACAATGCCTAGGGGTTCCTCCACTGAGATTTACTTCTCGCTTTTTCCCATCTGTAATTATGTAAGAAACCATTAAAACACTTCTTTACCATTTCACTGAATAAGGTAATTCAAGCCTGAAATAACAAGGAGACATGACAATGGGTGAAGGGCAAATGGTTGACACAAATTAATGAACTACATGCTGCCTTATTTCTGCAAATTCACCTCTGTGCAGAGGTCTCTGTAACATTTCATCCTTCATATTAAGTAGATGAGGGATGTATCAGGTATCTGCAGGAAAAAAAGAAATTTCACTCCATGCACTGAAGTTAATAAAAATCACTAACACTGTCGTCAACAAGCTTTGGATCTGGTCCTAAATTATCAGTCTAATGAGGAATTGTTGCATTATGTAATTCTATGACATCCTTTGTCTGTGCCTCTGGTTCTCAGAATCTGTACTGTGCTTAGTAATTGCAAGAGAAACTGAACTCGATATTGCATTCCAGCTTCCACTTAACAAGTTGGTTAAGGAATAGTATTTAGAGAGTTCCAAAATTAATTCCGCCAAATGCTGAACCAGAAAATATGTTGACAACGGAAAAAGCTCAGATACAGGAAATAGCATAAGGCATATTTTACTAGCAATAAGAAAATCTTCAGCACAATTCATAATCTGTAGCAGGAAGAAGTGAAATACAAGGAATTGATCACATATTTTTCAGAGTATATACAAAAAATGCCAAACGGTCATTCACAGCCAAGAAAAAAAAAAAAAGCATGTGATGATTATCAGGAGGTGTTACATTAGTATAAAAAGAATTTATCACTGCCTGAATAAGACACAGACCCAATCTGACAATCAAATCTCTTCACGATAGATGTTAATAAGAAGCAATTGTTTACACTTTAGCTTGTTCTGCTCACATTTAGGCTCTTTCGGCTCAGCTAAACCAATTCTGTCAGTTCTGTATGATGAAAGCAGAATATTGGCTAGCTCCTAGATGAGAAAGAAATCTGTACTGTTTTCTGCAAGTCAAGATCTCTGCACTCTGAACAGCGTGTCTGTACTCCACGCCTTCAAATAAACCATATCACCACCCATTTGCAGTTCCACAGAAAGGTCAGTACGTTTTTGCAGCCAGTATTACTTTACATGACACCTTTGATAGATCCCACTGAATGTTATTAATTGCACTTCTCTCAAGCTATCCAAGCTTTTAATTTGTCAACATTCAAAAGCTCATTGATGCCTACTGGGGACAGAGAGTTAGTCTGAACAAACAGTGACTTCTCCATAACTTATTCTGGCTACACCTGAGAATCAGTGAGACGGAAGAGGCTGCAATTCATCTTCTACACAGCTGGCACTGAAAGCATCAAGATACCATATGTTGCCACATAAAAATATCTCACGTTTATCCAGATGAGTAACATTACTATTGGCTATAATTAACAATCAACAGAATGAAAACAGACAAAGCTGGACATTTTTCCAACTCTGTGAGCATGGTCTGGATTCAATCAGAGCTTTCCCTCTCCTTCTACCCTCCTCTCACATCCATCCTAATCCTACAGAACTATCACTGATCGTTTATTTACAATATTGGATGTATTCAGTTCATCCTTTATCCATCTTTATCTTCTGTGCCTCACACCAGTGAAAAACTCAGGTAAGCACCTATCTTTAATGCCAGATAAAACTCTCACAAAAAGGATTTGTTATCAAGAGTTGTTTGATATAAAAAGACAGGAATGCTACTTCCACTCCTGAAACTTTCAGTGTGTACACAACCCTATTTCATCCACCATTTCCAGTATTTCAAAGTCCGACTGCATGCAGTTTTTTAACTTGTGCAGTTCAGTTCTCTGGGTTGGGCTGCAGCTGCATATCGAAAGATTTAGTAACTTACCCACAAGCGATTCTATAACTACCCTGTATGCAGTAGCATGTCTGTGAAGCTGCCACTGAGCACAGAGACTAGTCATGCGGACTTGATAGGAATCCAAATTTGTCACACCCAGGTACACTGAAAATTAAATTTAAAAAAATAATTAGATTCACACATCTAATAAAACATACCAAAAAAAATGACAAAGCAACTATAGTGAAACACCTGTGCCAATTTTTAATGAGTAATTTCAAAAAGCTGCTTAAAAAAATTATGTCAAGAAAATACAAAACAGTAAGGGAAAAAATGGAATCTTGAGCTCAAAAGTTTGGAACTTAGGTCAATTTAATTACGACTAAATAACAAATACAGCCAAAAATTCAGTTGCTACAAATAAATATATCATTATAACAGCATTATTTCTGTCAAAATTTAATTTAAAATAGAGCCTTAGATATCTAAAGAATAAATCATATTTTACATGGAGCTAGGAAAAAAATACTAAATAGGTTTTCCATTAAGGAGATTTCTACCTACTTCTAGGCAAATAATAAATAAATAAATAATAACACCTGCTTTATGATTCCTGTCTTGCTTGTGTTCGGCAGATTATTTTAAAGCCTGATATCATTTGATTTTAAAAAAAAAAAAAAAAGACTTTCATTTCAGGAAAGCAGTCTGCACACAACTGAGAAAGTCTTCCCCATGAAAATTCATTCAAGGAGCTGCACAAAGCCATAGTTACATCAAAAACCACCCTGTAGACATCTGCACAGCATGAAATCATTCTTACAGGTTTTGGCTATGCCTATTAGGGCATCACTGAAGCCTGTTGAGTATGAAGCAAATACTTTAACACTGTACTCTGTTCCACTGAAGAGATTCAGGATGAGAATGGTATTAATATCATCTCCTACAAAGGTCTCCAACGCAGGACCTGGAACTGCAAAAAATGAAATAAATTACAAAATTGTTTGCTCATCCATTGAATTAGCAGGTAATTAAAATACATCCAAAAGCACATCCAAAATTACACATGTTCCTAAGCCTACTGCTATTTTTTTGCCTTTTAGTTCACTTTTTTTTTTTTTACCACACAATAAAACAGAGACACTCTGCTCAGCTCTTGCATGGACAGAAGCCACAATACACTTGGGAAATTCAGCAGTGGGATTCATTAGGGCAGGGCTAGACACTGGCATCTGTTAAGACCCTTTTGTTCTGCTTCAGTGACTTGCTATTGCCCTAAATAGGCAGCCAAAGATCTCCTCAGTTTGATGGTGTGCCAGAACCAACAGGGGGACAGCAGATGCCAGCCACGAATACAGTTCCTGAGGGGTTCTTATACAACAAGATCATTTAACTCTGTGTAAAAATTATAATGAAAATGGAAATGAATAAAACTTTCCCAAATCAGAACTGCAAACATCTTCTTTGTCACCTCTCTTAGCTGTTCTGCACAGACTTCAGTCAGAAACCAGGCAACACTGTTGCCTTTGGACAATATTTTAGTCCTTTAACAGTCACACATTTGTGTTTTGCTTTCAATAGAGGACTGTGGTTTTTTAAAGAAATTTAAAGGAGATTGACAAGTGCCTTGTACAGCTACAACATGCGGGTGGGCAAAGGATGCGGCACAGGCAAAATAGGCAATCGATAAAATGTCAAGTATTTGGGAGGCATAGAGTGGGAGTAAAAGTCAAGGAAATGAAAACTTTTTATTGTGAAGGGAAGGAAGCTGAAGCAGAGCACAAAGACAAAGGCAGTCTGAAATAAACAGAGTCATAGTAAAATGACATAAAAGGACAGACTGAAAGTGTTGGGTTTGATCAGCCTTAAGATTGGAAGTCTGAGGGGAATCTTACTGCTGCCTACACCTACCTAATGGGAGGGGGTACAGAGGATAGAGACAGAATGTCTTCTGGGGCAACCAGGAAGATGGCAAGAAAAAACAGAAAAAATAGCAACATGGAAAATTTTGGTCAGATACTAAGAAAGACAATTTCACAGTGAGGGTAGTCAAAACCTGGAGGAGATGCTTAGAGAAGTTTTGAAATTTTCACCCTTGGAGATACTACAAATTCGACTGGACAAGGTCCAGCAAACCTTCGTCCAAGCTGGCTTTGTTTTGACCAGGGAGTGGGACCAGACGATCTCCAGAGACCCCTTCCAGCCTCCATCATTCTGTGACTACAAAACTTTCATGATCAAAACCTGAGTCACGTAAGTTAATAGCATGTTCAAGGCTGTAACTGCAACTGTCAGATGTAAGCACAAAATTCAGCCAAAGACCATGTCAAGACACTGTACAGTCAGAAAAAAACAAACAAAGAAATCAGTTTAAAAACTCACTGTTGATAGGTTTGTAGACAATTCTGTAACCCATTGTTGGTGATGGCGGGGCATCCCAACTGATACGTAATCTGTTGTACCATTCATCTGAGACACGTAAATTTCTAGGAGCAGACAGGGGTACTAAAAGGAAACCAAAATGAGATTTACAACTTTACCTGATACAAGTACATGGAAATAGTGTAATACCCAGATACTCAGATTTACAGGTAAAGTTTCCAGGATGAAAGCCTTTAATCAAATTCATTCTTGGCATTATGTCAGTGAATTAAATTTGATATATATAAAAAAGCTGTACAAAGATATACCAAGGATTAATTAAAAACTGTTCAACAAACAATGGTTTTCCAAATTAATTCCCAACTTTGTCCCTACATTTTTTTAAAAAACATAAGACAATTTACAGACCTATCTATTATTTATATAGTTTCTTTCAATCCAAGTTCACTAAACTTTTTATGGTACAAATCACGCTCTTGTGAACATTTAACCTTTTCAAATGGAATCAAAGCAATGGCAAGTGATTTAAGTCTCCGCACAAACAGCACTTCAATTTAGGCAGAAATTACATAAATTGGGAGAATAACTCAATAAAATTACACTATCATGGCTAGCAGCGCACAATGAGATTATTTTTCACCAATATACAGTAGAGACGGAACTTAAGCTACAGCTGAATGATCTTTTGGTACTTGGTCAGAACTCTAGAGATAGTGCAATCACTTTTATAAAAAGTTCAGAAGCATTTCTAATGACCTTTAGGAAGTAATGAACTTGCACAAAAGAAAAATTAACAATACAATGGTTGCCTTGATACTATCCCAGTCAGGCTCTGTTTACTTTATTTTCTGCATTAGTTGGCTTGTTCCTGGTGGGCCACCAGCTTTATTACTCAACAAGTTTTTGCAAGCTCATGTTATTTGAATATAAAATACAATTTGTCAATTAGAAGCAACCCATTGTTTATAAATCAATGAACTGAGATTAATATAAAGCTCAAATCATACAAGTCATGCAAAATAAGCCCACATTTACACCAGAATACATTACTACAGCCAAGGAAAGAAGGCCAAAATAGTAAGCCTTTCTTCATGCATAATCCTGGGCAAAGACAAGCAGAAAGTTTATACTTACGAGTTTTGCCAGGGGCTGAGACACTGACTCCTTCCCCATCGGAATAGATGGGAGTGATGGTAACCTTGTATTCTGTATCAGACAGCAGGGGCTGAAGCAGAAGCGTGTTTTGTCTCCCAGGCACCATCACCTGGATGGTCAGATAAACAGAAGCAATCAAGCTTGATCACCAGGCCCAGAACCTTTTCATATCTTACATGATCTCTGACACCATGTTCCATTAGTATTGTTGTACTGCTTGCATTTTTCAAATATTTGTGATGTTCTATGGTAAAATTAAAATAATTAAATTATTCACCCTTTTAATAGATCTACTAGTTACACCTGAGTAAAACAAAAAGAAGCACATGCCTATGGGGCTAACACAGTTTTGTTCTAAACCTATGGGCCACTACAGCTGCATAAACCACTGAATATGATTGTCCAAAGCTATGCCCATTAATAAAGGTTGACTGTTATGTTCTTTGGAAACAAAAAACTCCTTCCTTGGAGGAAGGAATATAAATGCAGGAGATAGGGAAACATGAACTGAGTAAGTAGCAATAAAATATGTTTGTCCCATCTGCATTTAATTTGGGAACAAGGAGATGAAGGTAGCTATGTAGGAGAGGAAGTAGGAATGCATCTCACAAACGGCAGAGGACTCAAACTGCCATGAAGCAGAAAGATCTGCAACAGATGTCCAACCAAACACCCTGGTACAAGTAGAGAAGCCATAGAAATCCATCCATGTAGTTTTGGGTGTACTAGGGCAAATGTTTCAAACCCACTGAATTACACACTACCGCTTTCAATACAGTTCAAGGTTTCCCCACAAGCAGCTATTTCTGAAACTCTTCAATAGATCACTATATTTCAGCCAGAAGCTCAAAAATTAGTATCACAATGGTGGTGGTGTAAGAGACTATGGTGTCTGTCTCAACCTTGCTGAAATTTCCCACAAAGAAACTGTTTGTCTCAATCTTGCTGAAATTCCCTGTGGAGAAACTTCAAGGCTGCGGTTTGCAAGCCTAATGGTGTAACTGCTGATAAGGCAGCTCTCTTCCAGGCCCAAAAGCCCAAGAGTATGCAAATTGTTAAGTCATACTGTGGGCCCTCTGAACACCTACGCATGCTCCACCGACTGTGGTGACGCTGGAGGGGGTGAAGATCGCTCCTGATGACCCTCATATGCGTGCGTCCTAAACAGGAGGACAGGCAAAGCAGCTCTTGGGACACTACAAAATGTCACCATGAACAGCTATTCTTCAGAGATCTGCCCCACTGAATCAAAACAGGCAGACCTGCGAGATGTCACTGGATCTGTGGTGGTAGCTATATTTCTTGCTATCTTAAACATTTTACTGCTTTGCTTTTGCTTTTGCTTTTGCTTTTGCTTTTGCTTTTGCTTTTGCTTTTGCTTTTGCTTTTGCTTTTGCTTTTCCTTTTCCTTTTCCTTTTCCTTTTCCTTTTCCTTTTCCTTTTCCTTTTCCTTATCTTTCTTTCCTATCGCTCTCCAGTGGTTGTTAGTCAATAAAAGTTTAGCTGTTGTGACATCTGACACCATTTGTGTCTTAATTTCACCTTTGGGACCAAAACGAATCACCTTGACTCCAACCTCTGTCAGGTATAAGCAGGTCAATACAGGTGGTAGAGGCACCCAAGTAAAGCCTTGCAATCTTTTAACTTGTTGGTAAAATTTTTCTCTCAGAGAGCCTCCAAAGCCTGAATGAGAGCTACCTAGCACATGTAGGAGAAATGATAAAAAAGTAAAAACAATTCTATGTTTCCTGAACCAAACCTGCTCTCTGAAGTGACGTTGGAAACAACAGTCCCAGGGTCCAACTTCACATTTTGGACCCTGCTTGGCCCATACTCATTGTGTGACTCTATCACCTGAGCCAGCAACCACACATACTTGGCAAGAAGTTGAGAGGCCTGTAAGCGCTTTAAACTTGAGGGGAAAAGCAGAAACTGAGCCTAAGAGAGTCATCTTGCTTCAAAGAAGACTGAGGTATATGATGATGGCAGAGCAAAATTTTTTGAAGCATAACTCAGACAAGAAAGCTCTCACCAGTTTTAATGCTTCAGGATATATTCAAACTACTTGTAACTTTGGCAAGTGATACCCAGAATTAATCTAGTACATGCAGGTGTTCAGGCTTGTCACCTTGTCATTCATTGATCAAGGCTTGACAAAATCATCTAAATACATGTGCACATAAGACTCCCATGCTAAACTCTTTCATACTTAGAACACACAAATCAAGTTTCTGAAACACAGAACAACCAATTTCTTCATTTTTTTAGGGAGAAGGGATGCCAAGTGTTGCAAATTCTCTCTTTCCCACATGTGTAAATCAGACATCTACAGAACAGTTTTCAGCAGAAAGAAATATTCTTGGCTTTAAGGAAGCAAAAAGAAAGCGATCCTTCCAGTACACACAGCACACCCAAGAACACGCATGCCATTGAGGGCTTGATCGCTCTGCAACAAAAAGTATTCCATTACATTTTCTAGACCTTGGTTTTCATGCAATTGCATCAAGAATTAAAAAGCCTACTAATATTTTTATGGAATGGGAGGAGTAACTGAAATTTATATCACTGAAACCAGAGCCAAAATCTTAAGCATCCACCACAGAATTGTCACACTATTGTACATTTAAGCCCAAATTCCACAAAGCTTGTGTTCTGCTTAAGAAATGTACTTAAATGCATAAGCACTCCCCTAAAAATTGAACATCTGTGTCGTTTTATTGACATCTGCATTGCACCTCCTAGTTGCTTGAAACCACATGATAAAATACATTCCTTGCATTTAAATTGTGCTTAATTTTAAGCATGTTCTTATGCCATTGCTTTTTCAGTGAAGTATTTATGCACATGATTAATTTCAAAGATGAAACACATGCTTAATCTGTTTGTCAAATTGTGACCAAAGATAATAAGATTTGAGAGTGTATTTAAAATTAAATAATTTACTGAATTAGAACCAAGATGCCTTCCTAATTTTAAAATTTTATTATTTTACACAATGAGCTTTTGAGTCAACTCTAATATCCTCCTGATAGCCAGAATTTGAGTACCTTTCCTACAGTTTTAATTTCCTTTTAAAATAATAGTTGTTGAATACTAAAAGAGAACTACATTTATATCATCCAACTGAACTTGATTAAGCTTCCCAGCGCTGAAATGGCAAATCTGGGATCTGAATTTCAGAGACTTTGGGTTACAGTCAGAAGAACAGTACAATTTGTGTCATTATGCTGTGTAAGTTTGCCTCTGTGTTATATACTATATTATCTTGTAGTTGAGGCAAATTAATAAATTTTTTTCCAGTCAAAAAAGAAGCCACGACATTGAAAGTTCATTTTCAGATCATAATTGAAAGAGATGGCTAAAAAGCAATTTTCTACCAAGGTCTCATAAAATATGAATGAAACAAAAATGAAAAGATTGATTTATATTTTTCTAGGAAATATGTTTATTGATAAAGTCTGATAAAGGGCTAAAAATGGCAGCTGCTAGGCATCAAAAAGGATATAAACGTTCTGTGAACAGCAGTGAGTCACATGATAGACACAGAGGGAGAATGATACGAAGAAGTGGATAATATTTTTGCCTTCTGAGCTATTTACTAATAAAATAACCTCAAATTATACATTTTAATCTCTTAAGTTTATCTACATAGAGCTATCTCAACATTCTAAAACTTAGTTTTCGTGGAATCCAAGCACTGCAATACTAAAATGTTCCCAATTTTAAAAAAAAATAAATAAATCACTGGGCCTCCTGGAATCCTGAAATTACCTCAGTAATTGCAAAATCTTAAAATAATACAGCTAGGGCTTCTTCTTTATTATTATTTGCCATATGCACAAAAGAGTACATGTAATATTCTTCATTCTTTCAAATATTTTCCAAAATCTTTATCACCAGAAACTTTTTTTTTGTAAGACAAGTTTAATATTGATCATCATATGCTATCAGCAAAATAACAACTATTCTTAGGCACTTAGATTATAAAGTGTTCTCTTTCTTATGACATGCTTAGGTTAACAAGCAGTGTGAAAACTCTGCATTTGAATTTTAACTACACTGGTTTAGCATAAAACGAGATTTTCAGGGGCATAGCAAAAGCGCTGAAGGAAAAAAATTTACTTAACTTTGTCCTGTAAAAACATTTAAGAGCTGATAAAACACAGTCTCCTGATATAAGGCAGCCTAGGAGTAAAAAAAACCCCAAAACAACAACAAAAACAACAAACAAAACCTTAGATAAATTTTAAAAATACAGGGAAAAGAGGACTGTCAGCTAGTCTCTTAACTCTGACTTCTTTAAACATCTGTGTGAGTGGGTCTTGATCTTATATTTGACTGCTGTTGCCTGCAGTGCAGCAGGTGCTATATAATTAAAACAGAAAAACCCAAAGGTTCAATCTCACCGCAATATGAAACATGGATCTTTTATTAATTGCAACAGGAGTGCAAGCAGAGACTATGCCTTAGCAATTGTTAAACAATTTTGAGGGTTATGAAGCCATTGACAAAACCCACACAGACCATTCTTACCGCCTCCTCAGCACGGTCACCTTCCGCAGTGAGATAGGTCACTCTGAACTGCTGAACGCTGTAATCTGAAATGTCCCACATCACCCTCAGGCTTGAGGTTGTTTCATCATCTATAACAAGGTTTCTGATTCCTGTTCGAAAAACTAAAGCCAAACATAATTTAATTAATATTTTTCAACTCTATTTTCAGATTTAAAATTGGGCTAATTATTGCCAGGTAGCTGCAAGCTCTACTGAAGTCACAGTGAGTCTGCAGATCCGCTGTGAGGCAAACCCATCCAGTTCAGTCATACTTGGACGTAATAACATAAACGCTTTAATGACATAATAAAATAATAGTTAACCTATACTGCTATTAACATATATTACCCCATCTGCTTTGTTTATATTACTTGGCTTATGGAGCTTTAGAGTAATCAAAACTCCACTGCAGTTAGAATACTACTGAAAAAAAATATTCCAGAACTGTTGATCCTGATAAGTCAATTTTCTAACTCCAGGGAAAACAAATGGAACCCTTAAAACTACATAAAATTCTGAAGCATTACCAAGTTTATATTTATGATAAGAAAGAGAAACAGAGAGATAAATTTTCCAAATTAGTTTCTGCATTCCTGTGTAATATGGCTGGCATCATTCGGGTCCCTGCACCATGTTACAGGTTGGCTGCGCATCCACACACGACACGTGTGGAGAGCTGGTCACACACAGAAGGGCTGCGCAGGAGCACAACAGCGGGCACTTTGCACCTCCCTTGCCTGGAGTCTACACCTCCACAAGACCTGCCACGGCAGCATGCTGACCACATGGACCATTAGAATCATAAAATCATTACGGTTGGAAAAGACCACTAAGATCATCTAGTCCAACTATCAACCCAACATTACCACGACCACCAAACCATATCCTCAAGTTGCACATCTACACGCTTTTTGAACACCTCCAGGGATGGTGACTCAACCACTTCCGTGGGCAGCCTCTTCCAGCGCCTCACCACTCTTTCAGTAAAGAATATTTTCCTAATATCTAATCTAAATCTTCCCTGGTGCAACATGAGGCCATTTCCTCTTGTCCTACTGTTAGTAACCTGGGAGAAGAGACCAACACCCACCTCATTACAACCTCCTTTCAGGTAGTTGTAGAAAGCAATGAGGTCTCCTCTCAGCCTCCTCTTCTCCAGGCTACACAACCTCAGTTCCCTCAGCTGCTCTTCATAAGACATGTTCTACAGACCCCTCACCAGCTTTACTGATCTTCTCTCAATGTGCTCCAGCACCTCAATGGCTTCCTTATACTGCAGCGCCCAAAATTGAACTCGATACTCAAGCTAGGAACTGGGGTTATTGGCTCCTTGGTAATATCACAACTCTCTGTCCCTAGATCTGGGCGTGCTTGTGGTGAGTGTTAGCTCTTTGCATTCAGCATTTAAACTGTGGATGTTCATTCTGTTTTACCTGCTGTGGTAGGCTTAGAAGTTGCGGTACTGGTAGTAGTCACCGTGGTAGGTATTGCGGTAGTCCTTGCAACTGCAAAACAATACTCAGCTCACTAACAGTGTAACAAAACACAGAATCATGGTACTTCTCTTGTATTTCTAATTATGACAATGAAACTGTGCGCTCACACCTACAAGCTTCCCACACGCTTCAGGCATTTCAGATCCTACAAGGGGACTACTCATTTAGTTTCCTTTAGGCACATATATTTGCAGGATTAGCACACAGACCTCCAGATGAGATATAATTATAATCTGTACAATTAAATAAGAATGCATTTCTGGCTGAACTACAAAATATGACTGTTTGTTAAGGTTGTCAGATTAATCAAGTTGAAAGTTTTTTAAGGGTTTTTCACTTCTCTCCAAGTCAAAAACAGAAAGTAAATTCAGCAACACTGGGCAATAGCAGCACCATTTGGATGGGTAGCGGCTTCTTGTCTTAACAGAAGGCTCAAGATTGAGTCTGCAATTAAATTACTAAGAATCAAACAAACTTTTGAATTTACACATGAAGAATATAGTTGTTCACTTAACCAGGTCACAGTTTGTAAAAAGAGAATATACAGAGCAATCTACCTGAAATGCTGGCCTCTGTTTTAATTATAAAATATAAAATACTCTGTGCATGATTTTCAAGTTTTATTTTTGCTACTTCCATGTTAATGTCACAGAATGCCTGTGTAAGTTTTCTGGATGACTATTTCAGGTAAGAGGGAATTCACCTCCAGTGAGTAAATGTCAAACATCTTAAATGAATTTCTTTTAAATTATTTACTTTAAAACATTTGAACCCTCTCTTCAAATTCAATATATCTTCTCATAAGGAACCTTTTTCAAAGACTAAATAATGAAATATAGGATGGAAGAATATCTATGCGGGTCCAAAGGTTATTAATACCAGAGCCCAGATAGGAAGCCAAACCATCATTTTGATTCAGTGCCATCTACCACATAATATTAAATAAGAAAAGCAAAAAATACCATCAGCAAAGGCCTGGTGCTAAACCATCACATTCTTCAATACCATAGCTACTCAAGGATGGCCTATATATATAAGGTACAAGCACTAAATTTAAATCACTTAAACATCTTTCAAAGTTGCAACTGAGAGTTTGTCTTACCTGTTGCTCCAAGAATAGCAACAACTTCACTTTCACTTTCATCATCAAAAACTGCCAGCAGAGAAACTTCATATTCTGTGTTGGGCAACAAACCCTCAATAACGTGACTGTCTGCATCTCCATTTATGACAACCTAAGTTATACAGCAAGATTAAAAGAAAATCAGTTCTGTGTCTGATTAATTTATATGAATTGACTGAAACGAGCAAAGGAAAAGGGCTTGTCCTTTTAAATAAATGAAATCTACACTCAGATCTGCCCCAAGAATTTATTAGCTCTATTGAAATGAAAAGTATCACAGAGTACATCTGGGAAAAAACCTGTCAAGAATACTTAAAATGTATTTATTATTTTACAGCTGTCTTGATTATTTTAACATGTAGTCTTTCACTCTTCACCTACAACTACTTAATTGCTAAAGATGAGCATATGCACTTAATCTGAAAAACACTAAAATTCAATTTATTTCACCAACGAAAGCAAGATAACAGAGTAGATTACCTTTCATTCATATTTCTACCACTCAAGCACTGTTATAAATGTATTCAGCATCTCCATAGTCTTACAAAATGCTGTTTCTACACCAGAATTCTAATCTGATTTAAGGTTCCACACATCCAAATGCAACTTGCTGCAACTTGAGGATTAGGGGAGATATGCTGATGAGCAGTTTTAAGAAGTAATTTTCCTTATTTCTATCTATGACAGCATCAGAAGACTCATATGTGCAATGTTAACTGTAAGCAGCAGGTTTCACTTCAGATTTTTGTGTGTTTCATTTATTTGATTGGAAGGCATCAATAGATGGGCAGGAGTTGGAGCTAAAGGGACTGAAGAGTAGAATGCAAGGAGCCTGAGCAATTATTCTGTTGAAATAGGCTGATCAGTTTTAAGAATAGATTTTAGGCTATGCACACAGATCCTACAGGGAAAGAACTTATCTCTAGGTTAACACTGGCAAGGTTTTAAAGGTGGCCACTGTATACACAGAATCAAAGACTCATAATGGAAATGGAATAATAGATCTGCGCTGCTTAAAATCTACTACAGCAGTCAGCAGAAACAGTGAACCTTACTTTATTTTTTTAATTACCACAGGAGATTTCCTGAATTGGTCCAGGGGAAGAGAAACCCATAAAACAAATCACAGACCTTCTGAACTCAGATACCGAAAACAAAAGCAGAAAGAAATGAGTTGAAGCCATGACTTCTTCAGCTATCAAGTAATGAATGAGGCAGCCCACACCGCACGATTTCTGGCACAGATTTTCTACGGAAAACTTCAGAAACAAGCTTGAGTGAGTCTCGCTGTACACTAACTTGGTATAAGTAGTATCTTCCTTTCCCATTCCCCAGAGCCTCTAGTCATGTATCAAACCACAATAAAGTTTCTATACATAGTTACTAATCTCACACATAACTTTGGCATACTTTCTGAAGCATCACTCTCCACTCCCTGCTAATTTAGCCTGCAGAGAAGACCACAAAAAAAAAGAACACAGAGTGCTGAACTTCCAGTGGAGAGGACAAATAACAGAAGCAAGAACAGTAAGAAGCACGCGAGTATAACAGCATGCATTCTCTACTGTAACCTAGAAATAAAAGGTCACTCTTAAATTTATTCTGCCTTTTTTACAGAACATCCCACTGAATGCTTCTAACCCACCAGCAGTGTGGGTGAAGGCAGATGAGAGGTGTGTAATCCTCACCACCACCCCCTGACCCCACTCGCTTAATTGGCAAGTTGGGTCTTGGGAGAAAGACAGGGGGAGTGCATGTCGCTTCTCTGCATGACTGATCACTTAGCTGGGAAAGAAGCTTAAAGAGGCAACAGCCTGGAGGTACTGTGCTATCCTAGGCCTGACCCCATTAGAGAGGTCATGCAAGGAGAACAAGAAAGCTGCTCAGGTATTTTTAATATTTCCATGTCCTAAAATATTTGGGCCTCCAACAGCTCTTAGGGAATACAATGAACAAGTGGAGCCTCAGCAGTTCAAATATTTCTTGATCATTTATTCGCACACTCAAAGAAGACAGATATAAATCGCGCTTTAAAATGCCCATGGCTTAAAGAGATTCACTAACAGCTACTCAATGGAACTTAAACAGAAACAAATCAGTTCACCTACTGCACAAAAAAAATGTTATGGGGATGACGCGTGTCCACTCACTCATCTGCCAACTCCTTCTCCCTGCTCACTCTTGTAATTTCTTTCTTCCTTGCATGACTACCTCTCTCTAGGTGAAAGGGAGGGAAGACTCAGACTAAGCTAAACTTACAGAAAAAAATGCCACAGTTGCAACGACTGACTTCTGTGCTAAAGGACGGCAAAATGATGCATGAAACCTAGGGCGAGGTGGGAAATGTCATCTTCCTCACTGAGTTCTGCACCCAGATCAACAGTTTGCACTCTCTGTAGTGCGGATGCCAAGAGTGCAAGGTGTTTGAGAGAGTCACTAAAGACGGAGGAGTACAAAAGAAGTCAAAATAATGAGGAAAGAAAGAAAGAAAGGGAAAGAAGAAATGAGACAGACTACAAAAAATGAAAATCTGGGAAAGTGAAAGTATTTGTCTTTTTCTACTCTGAAAAAGAAAATGGGAAAAGCTAAAGGGATGAAAAATCATTTTCAAATTCAGACTGATGAAAATGGCAATATGGAGAAGACACACAAGGGCTTAGAGCAAAAAATACATCCTGTTGGGGAAAAAGAAAAAGAATTGTAAATAGGAATAAAAGAACAATCTAATAAATTAACTACATGTAAACTTTTCCCTTTGTAACATTACATAACTGAGGCTTCACGGGCAATTTTGCTGTGGCCAGCACATTAGACAAATATGGAGCCTTATGTGAAGATATCGCTGCTCTGCTCAGCTACCATCACCACCTTCACAGATAACTGAAGAACACAAACCTCTAAAAACTGAAGGAGCATCAAACAGCAATGCTAGTTCTATGACAGCTGGCATCTTACAGATTAGGTTGATTATTCACAAAAGATCTCTGCTTTCTACACTTCCTTGAATATTGGGGTGATTTTGATTCAGAGAGATTTGCAGTGGGGCAGATTTTTCTGTAAACCAATTGGCCATACACCATTGGCAAAAACTGCAGCATAGGTGTCCTCAGAAGGGAAACCTGTTTTTCATTTCACATCCTTAGAAAGTCAAGGCAACTCACCTCTTCAGAGTCGCCCCCCTCCAAAGGAATCCATGCCAATCTGTAAAAAGCAGTATCTGACGAGGTGGGCTTCCAGCTGACCCTAAAACTATCCACTGATGCTTCATCAATTTCCAAATGCTGAGGAGCTGGAACTCTTTCTACAAAACATTACACAAAAGAAAAGTGAGAGTAAATTATTCTCTGAGACTTGCATAGACAACAACATTATTTTACGTGCACATACCACTGTACTTGTAGTTTGGTACAAGTATAAAATGGGAAGTAGATAACAAAGGCACTATAGATTATTTGCACAGTTGTTGTACTGAGGGAAGTAGTTCTTTAGTTAGGGAGGCAAAAATGTGCAATACACACTCTTTATTTACTCTAACTGGGCAAGCCTCCTTGTACTCTCTCCACTAATGGAGCTCCACACACCCCTCAGTCCCTGCCCTTTGCTCAGAGCTCTGTGCAACATGCTCTCTTCTTTTGCTCTACCTCAAAGCAAAGTACCACTCTGCCCCTTCCAGACACTCTGTGTACATTTCCATTCACAGTTTGCATATCAACCTCATTCCATACATGTATGTTCTCCCTTCTCTTCTACCTCATGTTTCTCTTTGCTCCCTCAAAGTCCTTCTCTTCCCATTGCTACACTGGAAAGCATTAATAAGTGTCATTCATCACTTATTTAATGTAGAACTAGTTACAGACATCATAACTGTGCTAAACATACTACAGGAGCCTGAAATGTCTTATATTTCCTCCTTTTGGTGTTCAGGTATATCTGTACATATATGAGGTTTTACCATTTATTGCCTAGATAGTTCATGGGCTAAATATTTGATTCAAAATTCATCACACTTCAGCTGGAGAGATAAATGCCATCATATTCGATGATTCAGAAAGCTGAGAGGCAATTGCTTTACTACCTAATTGCAATAAAAGATGCTTGAAAATGGCTGACTGTGGAAAGACTTAGGAAATGAACCCTAGCCACACAAACATTTTCATGATGTCAGGAGATTACTCCCACAAGTAAAGATGCAAGTGGCCCCATAATAAGAGAGCAAAGAAGCCAAAATCTCCAATGAAAACAACAGAAAGGATTCCATATAACTGAATTCTGTCACAGACACTAGCTGTTACTAGTCTTACTTTCTGGTAAAGTAAGAAAGTATAAAAATCCTTCTTGGAAAACCTTCAAAAAGATCAGACATACTTACTTGTGGTAAAGCTGCCAGTAAGTGGTTCAGATTGTCCTTCATCATAAAGGGAGAAAATAGCAACCGTATACTCTGTAAGGGATGTCAGGCTTTTTAGAGTGTGGGTTGAAACACGACCAACTTCCACCTAGAGAAAGCATAATTTGCAATAGATATCGCTCATAAATTTTACATTATCAGTGTCTGAAATTCTACTGGGTAATAATGATATAGGAAAAGAATTTCACGTAATCAGTAGTGAAATTCTGTGAAACTATGAACTATGAAACTATGAACTATCCCCCCCTGCTCTGGTGGGGGATTGGACTAGATGATCTTTTGAGGTCCCTTCCAATCCCTAGCATGCTGTGATACTGTGATACTGTGAAGTATAAAAGCTGACAAAATCAATTGAAATAGACAAACTAGAGAAAAGGAAAATTTTGCTTATGACAAACTAGAAAAAAGGAGAATTCAGAGTTAGTATGCATAACTCATTAGCTAACATACCAGCATTGCATGTTCAGGAACCTAGAAGCAGAAGCAACTCTTTGGGCTACTGAATCCAGTCCCTTATCACGGATAATCATTGCATAAACCGTTATGTTTAACATTTGTCAAGAGACAAGACGACAGTTTTGTCTAGTCTCTAGCCAGGCTGCAGTTAACATGACTTTGCCAGGGATATAAAACTTGAAGCTGCATAACCTGACAGTTTATCATCAGTCCGACTATTCGGTGTCACATTAGCTTGGCATCACAGGGGAAGTGCTACCAATGAGGAGCGAACAAAAAAAATGCCACCTGCTCTTTGAACAGACATAAAGAAAAAGTTAAGAGGTAGATAAAAGCCTACTGAACAATCACTGATGCTATAAAGTATATTAACACAAGTCTGAGAAGTTCAATTACCATTGTGAAAAGTACAGCCAGACGTATTATCTATATTATGGGTAATCAATAGGAAGAGGTCAAGTGACTTAAAATTCAAATTTTAAGGGACCTAGCAGAAAGAAAAGACACAGAACATTGCACAGGCATGCTCTCTTCTAAACTTGAAAACAGTTTCTTGAAGTTTAATATAAATATTCCATCTTGTATGGAAGAAAGACCAGATAGGTCTGAGAAACACAATTACACAGAACTACTGTTAAAGACTTTTTTGGAGCACTATGTAACCCATGATAATTGATTTTGTAAGAGATCTGGCCTGTTTTAATAATTGGACCCATTTACTGCAATTATTTGTTTAAAACTTCTTCTGTGTTATTTCAGATTTCTGTATTAATAAAACCCCATCCAATTTTTCATACTGTCACAGAATTCATGCCTCTAAAAGCTATTACAAAGCGCCACTAGTAACAAGGCATAACTGAATATTGCGTAAGTAAATTATTAAATGCGAGAGTCTAAGTCAGAACATCTTGGTATAGTCTTATCATTTTGTTCAAGCCAAATCCTCTTTCCAGGAAGAGAGTTTTCAACATATAATTCAAGCAATACATGTTAAGAAAATGTGGCACAGCCTTCAGATAGTCTTTGTGAATGAGCATGAGGCCATGACATATTGAAAGTCTCATTATCTAGGCTGAATGAAGAATAAATATTTCCGTACCATACATGCAGGCAAGATCCTGCACCTACAAAATATTGTTCCCTTGAGTAGCTCCCTTCAGTTTACGTGCACTAGCAATGACTGTTCTGGTCTCTAGGAAGTTCAGAGTACTGTCCCCCCCACACATGATCCACTCCAAACGTACACCTGACTCAGCAAACTCTTATTTGCACTAAGTGGCAGAATTCTCTGTCAAATCTTTTGTTACAGCTTGAAAGGTAGCTTTTGATTGTAACAGTTACCCCTAACAGTTACAGAAGTTTAGTAAGCTCTGAGATTGGTTAAGGGAAAAGAGCTGCTAATACTTTACCTCATTGGTTTCTGTTCCATCTGTTTTAACATACATGATGCGATAGCCGTTTACATTTTTGGAAGCAGGATCCCATGTTAACTTGGCACTACTGTGGCCAACATCAGAAAATTTCAAGTTTGCCGGTGGACTTAGAGGCACTTGAAGAGGAAAGAGACAAAACCATGAAAGGGATTTCAGGCTTTAACCGCAAAATTTTTCATGTCTTGACAATAAGCAGCACATTTTCGATTCAAAAATTTATATCACCAACATCAAAGGAGCTACACAAGTACTTAAATGCAGGTAAAATGGCTTAGCTTTTTGCTGAAAGAGATCTTTCAGTCTTGCTAAGTGCTTCTCAACTGAAAAAAATATTGTTCATAGTAGATATCATAGCAAGATTTAGCCTACACATTACTTGCAATAAATGTGTGTTTGTATTTGTGAATTAATTTAACTATCCCAAATGCATTTATTTTCCATGAGTATCTCAGCAAAAATATTTCATGACAGTAGTATTTTTGCAGAATACCTTTCCGAATCCTAAAAGACCCTGACATAAGGGTAGGTTTGTCCAAAAAGCGTAACTAGCTCATTAGATCTCCAAAGATCTATATTTTTTTACCTCTGCTTAACGTTTCCTCTTTTCTTGTCTTACCTCTCTTGTTTTTACTTCTGCTTAAGGTTTTCCTCTTTTTGTGTTTTTCCTCAACATGAGCCGGCAGCACGCTCACGCAGCCCAGAAGGTCAACTGCATCCTGGGCCGCATCAAGAGGAGTGTGGTCAGCAGGTCAAGAGAGGTGATTCTCCCCCTTTACTCTGCTCTTGTGAGACCCCACCTCAAATACTGCATCCAGTTCTGGTGTCCCCACCATAAGAGGGACGTGGATCTGTTGGAGTGTGTTCAGAGGAGGCCACAAAGATGATCCAGGGGCTGGAGCACCTCTGCTACAAGGACAGGCTGCGGGAGCTGGGATTGTTCAGTCTTGAGAAGACTCTGGGGTGCCCTTATAACTGCCTTCCAATACCTGAAGGGAACCTACAGGAAGGCTGGGGAGGGACTTTTTGCAAGAGTGTCCAGCGACAGGACAAGGGGAAATGTATTTAAATTGAAGGAGAACAGATTTAGATTAGATCTTAGGAAGAAATTCTTCAGTCCGAGGGTGGCAAGACTCTGGAATAGATTGAGCAGAGAGGCTGCAGATGCCCTCTGCCTTGAGATGTTCAAGGCCAGGTTGGATGAGGCTTTGAGCAACCTGGGCTAGTTGAGGGCATGCCTGCCCATGGCAGGGAGGTTGGATAAGATGATCTCTAAGGTTCCTCCCAACCTAAGACATTCTATGATTCTTCCAGAAAAAGCAGCTGTTTCCTAACAGCAACCCCAGTTAAAACCATATTTTATACAACACATTTCTTGACTGTCATGAGCTGAAGGAAAATGAGGTTACACAAGAGACAGTCTCAGATTGCATCCACTTTTCTATTACATCAGAGAAAGCAATTTGTCGTGTCTGGTACTCTCAGCAGTAGGTTCTGTATTCGCCCAACATCTGGTCGTTTTCTCCAGATTGTGAAAACTTTCTCCATCCATCCTGCCTTCACACACACACACACACGCACACACACACACTCCTCACCAATCAACATGGACAGATAAATATCAGCACTTCAGAAGCTGTTTCCCTCACACGAAAGCACATGGGGAACAAAAAAGATTTTAAAAATCCCAAAACAAAACAAAACCCCACCACCTATTACGTGGGATTTTAGGCAGGCCTTCTATCAACTCAGAATCTGCAAGCAAACACTTAACCAGCTTAGGAACAGTTAAATCAACTTGGCTATGAGCAAAGAGAAGACAGGAACACACTGGAATTGTATTAGATGGGTTTGCCACACTTTCTGGCATTCCTCTGAGTCCAGTGAAGGGAGTATCACGTGCTGGCTTTCCCTTCGCTTTCTGTCAGTTGTGGAATGCACTTCATTTCACCATCCAGGCCATACCACAAAATGCTTCAGTCTCAGCACTTTTTCTGTTTGAAATCAACCTCCCGACAACATTGCTCTCAACCAGACAGGCAGTCCTGATGCCAGAGTTACGTGACATTTACAGTGAGTCTTGGAAAAAATCTGGCCCCCAAAAGAAACCCCACCCCAGAATGAGCTAGCTGATCATGCCTCTGTTTGGCACTGAGACAGGTTTTGCTACAGTAACTGAGATGATACAGCGCATAGAATAATACCATTTACTAAATACACAGTATCAGATATTACACATAATACTACTGCAAATTAGGCAGATCACTCTCTAGGCAAACATATACTCCAGGAAAAAAAAAATAGAATCATAGAATACTAGGTAGCCTATTCATTATTTGCAAGGCAGAACTAATCACATTGTATGAAAAAAAAGTGAAAAAAAAGCCAAAAAAAAGCAGCTTAAATCTGAATCTGGACAGGGAAGAGGTTACCATTGGACACTGATCATGTGGGACAGGTGTGTTCAGCAAGAGCTTTCTTTCAGCACAGACTGCCCCACAGCCTGGTCAATCAAAGCCTGTTAGAAGAGGGCTTATTTGAATAGATGCATATAGAAAGTTAGAATCAATCTTCTTTCATATGCAGTGCTAATGACCAGTCAGAGTTGGCTGCATTGGTTCATCCTAAAAATAAGTTGCAGGGTAGGTAGCTGTTGAGTTTTTTTATTTCAGTCTGGTAACAGCAGTGATGATGGGATAACATATGTTAGTAGCTTCTGTGATTAAAAAATGTGGTCATGAATTCTGTTTGTGCCAATGTATCTGGAATCTGCGTGTGATCTTCCATCCAGTGTGCACACCACATTTGGAGCTGTGCAGCCTCCAAGATCATATGACATTAAGTGAATTCAGACTGGCATAGTCATCAACTACATAAAATACTGTCTAGGATAAATGAAAAACAGGTACTGGGCAGATATTGACCAAAAGCTGAGGGTGAGGGGAGGAAGGGAGAGGTGTAAAGGACAAAGGGAGAAAGTGACAGAGGGACAAAGAGCCAAAGACTTGATTCTCCAAGAATCAAGAATGTCCTACATTGATTTCAAGTCTACAAACATGTCCAGATTGCAGGAGTTTGCTGGTGGTGCTTCTCTGTCTACAACTGCCCTCTAAGAGATGACCCAGGTCAAACAGCATTCCTAGAGCTTCTTCCACCATTACTTACTGACCTTACAAGCAACTGCTCTGGCCCTTCTCAGCACTTGCACGCCTGAACTTCACCTATTAAACATCACTTTCACACTGGTTTACTCATGCCAGGAGCACAAAACAAGAGGAAAGAATCACTCCACTGCTGGAAGCAATAGAGATGTCACTGAACGCCGTCCCAGAAATATCCCAGCAGCACATTCGTTTATTTTCAATTCTTTTGTCTTCCAAATGTTGGGGCTATTTAGAGAGCGGACATACAGTGCTGCATACAGTTAGCGGAGGACTGAACTTAGCTGGCAAAATTCTTGCTGCTTATTAAAAACACACCATCGATCATGAGCACAGAGGAGCTTTCCAACCCTTCATTTACCAGATGTTAAGCAGCAGGGGTTAGACAGAAATCTTCTCTTTGCTTCTTTTCTGTCTGTACTGCTACTGAGCCAGAGGAATGAACTTCTCCATCTGACTCCCCCACACACCTGGTTCTTTGGCTACAGGAGGCTAAACAGAGCAGTCTCAGCTGAGCTCTACGTGATGACCTTCATTCACCTTCAAGTTTAGAAAACTGACAGTAGTTCCACCAAGATCAACAGGGCTATCCACAGCACCACTACCAACAAGAGAGAAGAGTTCACAACCCTGTTACAAAACCAAGATATTTTATAGAAACTCACATCCTCAGCCTCTAAAAATCAAGTATTCACACTGAGAAACTTAAACACAGTTAAGAACTTGCCCTATGGACTATTCAAATCATGTTTTATAATCAGATGTCTGCTCTAATATGTGCAAAGACTGCTCTGAAGTTTTATGAACAATGAACTGAATATAGATATGTGCTACCTACATGTAGTTTCTTGTCCTGTAAGGGGATCACTAGCTTCTTCTCCAAACATGGCATATACTGTGACTGTATATTCCGTATTTGGCAATAGTCCATCCAGTTCAAGATCCGTTGAGGCCGCCCCAATCTTCATCTAAAACCATCATGAATAAAAAAAGACATTATTTCAAAATATTATGATGGAGAAGAATGCTATGCACACACTTAAAATTAGATACGTGACCAAATGCTCTGCTGAGCATTAGTCTGATACTGTGCCTGCAGTACTTGGTTCAAGATTTCAGGATTTTACACAATAATCAAAATCCAAAATTATCAAGAAGCAAAAAGCCAACATACAGGTAAAAGGACTTTAGAAGTATCTAGTCACATTAGCAATGACAAAAATATTCCTCTCTAGAGCATGCAGCTACTAATTTCTTTTCATTCCCAGCTGTATCTTTTTTCATCCTCAGTCACAGGATAGAAATTTCATGATTTCTGTGCTCAGATTTTTTGCTATTTAAGGTATCATTTACCTCCTCCATCTCTTCACTGAGAGCCACATGGACTGACTTATTTATTGAAAAAAAAATCTTTCTCAGGGTAAGGCTCCTGCCCCCTGAGTCAGCCAGTTTTCAGGGAGGCCCCACTCGTTTAGCAGTGAGCACAAGTCTATGCGAGCTTTCAGTAGTTTCCTACACTCTCCACAAGTTCACATGCCCTTGCACGCTTTTTGGTGTTCTTGCTTGAACAGAGATGTTGTACTTAACCTTAATTATGCATACAGAAATTTGAGCGTAAAAACTTTTCAGTTCCTTTGGAACTATGCTAGCAACTTGAGATAAGTCTGCTGGTTTTACTCTTTTAGTGGCAGAAGCATGGACTTTATCCTGTCCCACCTTCTTTTCCTTCAAAAAACCTCTTCTAAAAATCACTTTTGTTTTTAAATTTAAACATAGAAGTTGAATAGAACTAAAAGAAAACCAATAAGGGTCACACCTGCAAATTTTATTTACTTTTAAATGTCCTGTTGAGAACAAAGACTAAACTGCATGTTCTTCTACCAACACACTTAGATAGTATCTTAGTTTCACTTACTTTTTTCTTCCTTTGAGTGTTAGTTTTATATGATGATACAGTATTACCTCATACATCATTTCAAATGAGTCACTTTAATTCATCTGAAATTGTTGCATTTTTATGGCACTGACATAAAAAAATAATCAACTGGTATATGCACTTTGTTCATGGTCTGTAACACATACAGTACTTAAGCAGTCAAGGAAAAAAAAACAAAGTACTTGCTGACCAAGTCAGAGGCTAAAGGCCAAGTATTATTCTTTAAAAGACGATTTTTTGAATAATTTCTATTCAAACGAAAGCACAATACATCACCTCCTTCTCATCTGCTGCCAATCCTTCTGTGAGGGGAGCATACAGGATCATGTAACCTGTGGCACCCGCTACTCCATTCCACTTGGCTCTCATGCTGCTCTGTGACACATCGTACAACTGCAGATCCGATGCCATTGGCAAGGCAACTACAGTGGAACAAGAGATAGACGCTTCAGTTGCCTCAGTTGAACAAGCAGCTATTTCTTCAAGCAGTTTACCACAGGAAACACAAAGAAATACAGCTATCTCCAGGCATGGAAGTTCTGTCTGTACACCATAGCTACAAAGAGCTGATTAGTATGTAAAAGAATTAGAGAAACAAAGAAATGATGGCCTAACCAATACTAACACCAGGGCAGAGTTACCTTTTATGAAGCATTTCAACTCTTTGTCCTAAATGGCTTTTGAACATTTCAGGTGAGAGGACTCTGTTCTTAAGCACCAAATCCCTCTCTTCAGATCTCACCCTTCCTGCTCCCTGACCTGCAGGAGGATGACCACTTGCTGTTGAAGAATGAGCATGGTTGCTGTTAGGAGCAAGTAGCCGTCCTCAGAGGTGGCTCTTTCTGGCAACAGTTTCCAAGTCAGAATGTGTGAGACAGCCACGAAGCGGGACACCCTGGAGGAAACCCTGAATGCACACCTTGGTCTCATCAAAATATTTTGACGGCAAACGTATGTGTTTAAGGCCTGGAGTGCCCAAACTGGCTCCTGGGCCTGTGTTAGCGGGATTATGCAAACAGGGGCAAGATCATCCATTGTAAATCATGGTGAATGCTAACCTGAAAAGTACAACTGAAAAGGCTGAGTGAAACTCAAACATTATTAGGAGATTTACTTGTGAATTTAAGGCACTGACACCAGAACATAGCACCAGTTGGGGTTCCTGAATATTTCTTTAACTCTATTTAACTCTATATTTCTTTAACTCTATTAGTATTTCTGTAACTCTAAAGAGTATCATTTTGCACTTCTCTGATTGCTCTCACTTTCTTCCTCTCACAGAATGACATTCCAAGGCCTTTCCACTGCTGTTACATCAACGGATGCCATCAAAACATGCAGTCACTGGAGAGATATAAGGGAACTTCTACACTGAGAAGACCCTTTCAGACCCTCAAAGGGTCTGAAAAAAGGCAGAAGGTAATTGGTAGTTGATATCAAACCTTTCCTATTAGGAACTCAGAGAGACTGTAACAGGCTGGACGTTAAGCCTCTACAAAGCTCTGCTTTGTGTTTCTCAAGAATCTGATCTGCAAACACAGATGTAGCAATTCTAGTAATTCACAGAGCTTCTCTAATCTCCTTATTCAAACAAAAGTTGCCTGTCTAGCTGACATCTCCAAGCAGTAGTATATCTCTCATGTTACGTTCAACAAGCTCTAACAGAGCTCTTAATTTCACATATACAAAACATGCCAGCCTTGTTCTTTCTTGTTCACCAAAGTCATTCACTCAGCCTGTTGTTCAGGTCTGTAAATATGGGCAAAACTTCGACTCAAGCCTCTCCTTCCATTTCCATGTCCAGGTTACCCACATATCTTCACTTCCAAACCTTTCACAACCTACCTCCACCCTATTTAAACCCGTGTTGATGTGTTGACTTATATTGACATAAATTCCCACAATTCTTCTAATAGCAGGGAGAAATTACCCACAAACATTTCTAAATGTCTGAGCTGCACTTAGATCTGATACCTACAGAAAGACACTACATGCTGAGATATTATGAAGGCACTTTCTGCCACTTTGTCTCATTTCTATTCAAACTGACCCAGGACCACAGAAAGAGTACCCATCATTTGTTCTTTTCCTTATTTTGATTCTGAAAATCTACAAAATAATATCCTCTAACTCCAACTTATGGTTCATATTTTAACTCTCAACAAGAACTCCTAGATGCTCAGACAATATAAATAATAATTAATGGGTAGGTGACTGGAAATTAAACAAGTGGTGTCTTCTACCACAATTTTTGGCTGAAGAGCGCAGAATCTCAAATATAAACATCCAGTAGATAATGCTGACTTGCATCTTGGACAGTTACCAGTCTCCTAATATTCTGGTAACACAGGGATAAATTAAATAAGTAAAGCAGTTGAAAATATATTTGCAGCAAATTAAAATGTGAATACATTTCATATTTATTTCAAGTTAGAAGTAATTATAAAATCAGAAATCTCTCCAATTATCCATACGTTATGCATACTGAATGCGTCTTAAGATTTCACACAACTGTAAGCTATTTTCAATGTTCTGTATGAACAAATGTGATTGGCATCTATTTTAATTTGTCAGTATCTCATACAAAGGCAGGAATGTGAACTACGACTTTCCATCATTCTCCAATAGGACAGTCAAAAGTACTTCCAAGCTTCATGTATTTCAGCATGTGGAGTGATTGATACCATTAAGGCTATTACTTCCAACAAACTATCAAAAGACAGCTGTATAAAATGCTTGATGCTACATGACCTTGGGGTGTGATCTGATCAGATGTCAGAAAGCCAGTAGGGCTGGGCTCCGTCAGAACTTGACTAGGTGACTTCAAAGGAATACCAGGGGCAATACAAAACAACCCTGTTGGCTCAGTGCGACTGTTCTCTCTGCCTTGATAAACTAAACAGGTCGTAACACCATGTCACGGGGTATAACACGGCTGAGATGGCATCCTGAGAGACTAAGACTAAATTATAACTCTCAAATAGTTTTATATGATCCTGTTTCATTTTCAGATTGGGAAAATTAGCACTTACACAGAATCAAAGAACCATTCAGGATGAAAGGCATCTCTTGAGATCATCCATCTAACTAATTTTCCTGTTCAGTCAGGGTCAGCTAGAACAGGTTGTTTCAAACTACTTTCAGCTGGGCTTTAAATAACTCCAGAGACGGAGACTCTACAATGTCACTGGAAAACCTATTCCAGTGTTTGACCACCATCACGATAAAAGCAGGTTGTCTTCTGTTCAGATTTAATTTCAAGGTTTTTTAATCTGTGTCCATTGACTCCTATCCTGTCAGTGGGCACCACTGAGAAAAGTCTGGCTCCCACTTCGTCATTGCCTCTCATCAGGGATTTTTATACATCCATAAGATCACCCTGAGCCTTCTCTTACCCAGGCTGAACAGCCACAGCTGTCTCAGTCTCTCCTCTTGTGAAAGATGCACCAAGCCCTTAATTATCTTTGTGGCCCTTCACTGGACTCACTTCAGTAAGTCCACATCTCTCTTGTACTGGAGATCCCAGTACAGGACCAAGCAATCAGGTGTGACCTCATCAGTGCTGAGCAGAAGACAGCCTGCTGTCAATCCTTCTCTAATGCAATCCAGGAGGCCCTTGGCCTTCTTTGTGACAAGGGTGCATTGCTGGTTCACAGTCAGCCTGCTGTTTATCATGACCCTCAAAGTCCTTTTCTGCAGAGCTGCCTTCCAGATGGTCGCTCCCCAGTGTGTACTGAGGCACGCGGTTAATCGTCTTCAGTGGCAGGACCTTGCTGAACCCTTTGTTGAACTCCATGAGATAAAACACGTTTTCTCCTTAGCATGTCCATGCTAACTAATTCTAATCAGCTTCTTGTCCTCCATGTGTTCGGAAAAGGGATTCAAGGACTAGTCGCTCCATCATCTTCCTGAGAACTGAGGTAACTCTGTAGTTCCTCAGATCCTGCTTCACCAAGGATTGCCATTTGCTTTCTTCCAGTGTTCAGGAACTTCTCACAGTTACCATGACCTATCAAGGATACTCCAGACTGTCCTCATGATGTCCTCACTAACTTCCTCAGCACTCACAGGTGTAGCTCATCCAGTCCCATGGACTTACGTGTGTCCAGTTTACTTAAGTGCTCCCTATACTCATACTCCTCAAATGAGGGTAGGTCTTCCTTTCTCAAGACTTTGCCACTGATCGCAGCGGAACTTCTGAAGGCCGTTTTAACTGGCAAAGACCAAGTCAAAGAAGGCAGTGAATATCTCAGTGTTTTCCACTTCATTTGTCACCAGGTCCCCTGTCCTATTCAGGAGCGGCCCCATGTTTTCCTCCATTTTTCTTTTACTGTTTATGCACTTGCAGAGTTCGTTCTTGCTCTTCATATCCCTTGCCAGATTCAGCTCCAGGCTGGCCTTGGCTTTCCTAAATTCTCCTCTGCAAGATCAGACGGCAACTCTATACTTCTCCTGGGTCAACTGCCTCCTCTTCCACCTCTTATATACTTCCTTTTTATGTCTAAGTCATGCTAGAAGTTCCTTACTTATCCATGCTGACCTCTTGTCACCTGTGCCTGATTTCCTACTTGTCAGTACTGACCTCTCTTGAACTTGTAGGATGTAATCTTTAGCTATCTAGTTGCTCTTCTGGATCCCTCTTCTCTCAAGGACCATATCCCTTGGGATTCTTCCTGAAGAGACTGAAAACTGCTATCCTGAAATCCAGAGTCGTAGCCCTGCTTTTTGATTCTTCCCTCCTCTCAGAACCCTGAATTCCACCATATCATGGTCACTGCAGCCAGGGCTACCTGTGACTTTAAACACCACCCCCCACCAGTTCTTCCTTGTTTTTAAGCTTCACCTACAGAACACCTTCTCTTGCTGGCTCCTTGATCACCTGTGTCAGGAAGTTGTTCTCAAAGCACTGTAGAAATCTTCTGAATTGCTTGAGCTCTGCTGTATTGTTTTTCCAGCAGATATCAGCTATGGATGTATCACATATAGACATCCTGGCTCCTAGTTGGAACTAAACATTACTCTATTTCCATTCCTAATATTTGTCATATTTACTAAAAAGTATTTTTATTTTGTATACAAATACACAAAATTGATACAATCAATAGCAGCACATTATCTCAGGTACTAGCAATCAGGTACTAGCAAACTGAATCATTGAGAAAGGGACTTGAAAGCTACCTTGAAATCTTTGGCACTGGTGGGAATTATATGCAGGTATTTCTGGTCCCACCTAATCCTCCACTCATGAGATCATCTTCAGCCACAAACCTCATTTATAAATCCACACCCAAAGTGTAAGAATGTTCTAATTTAGGGTTCAATACAACTGACTTCAAAGCTCAGCCCAGAGATAAAACCTTTCTGTGTTTAAATATCCACAGAGCATTTGGACTTAGGAACTTAACCCAAAATTAATTCAAGTAGAAATTAATTTAAGGGAAATGCATTAATTAAAAGATCCTAAACTGAAAATGACTCCCTTTGTATTTCTTTTTCACAAAAACTAATGCATACATAGTGTGATTAAATGCAGAGTGTCAAATCCCTAATGAACATGATACAGATACTTACGTGTAGTTTCAGTTCCACGGAGGCCCTCACTGGCAGCATTTGAGTATATAGCAAATACAGCTATCTGGTATTCGGTTAAAGACATCAGGTTTTGCAGAACTGCTGTTGATAAGCTTCCATCTACCACAACCTGTTTAGAAGAAAATTCAACTAAATAGACATAAAGCAAACTATAGCACCATTGAATCAATCAATCCCTCTTTCAAACAATTTTTACACTGGCATCGAAGAATCAATGTACTGAAGTTCACCTCATAAATTTGCTTCTTCTACCTTTAAATACAGTAAGGTGTCTGCAAAAACAACAGCAACCATATACATAATCAAAATGTTTAGCTGATAAAAGCAGCCACTTAGAACAAAGGAATTACTTAGACAAATAAAGTATGGAATACAGTTTAAGAGTGTATATTGGGCACTTTTTGATATAACAGTATACCATCAACACCCCTTTAGCGCAACATATGTGCACACACAGGACTTCAAATTGACATTAATACATATGCATGCTTAACAAGTTTCTAGTACAAAAATAAAATATACCCTTAGTTAAATCCTTTTACTCTTCTGCCTTTCTATTCAATTTTGTAAGTTGTCAGCTGAAGCCAAAAGCTTGTTCCGCTGCACTTCCTTCTGTCTCCAAAATGTCTAAGTTCTATTCAAATAAACATCTCTCTATATATTTTCAACGACTAGTTGCAAATATCCCAAAATATACACCCATATCATCTTCCTTTTATGATTTTTTTTTTCCTTAGAACTGAAGATCTGGCTTACTATCAGCTCCTACCTCTTCAGTTCTTGTACACAGAACGGTGTAGAGGAAGTTCACACAATTGGTTCAAGTAACTATACATGCGCAAGCAAAAATGCAGGCAGTTTGCCCCACTCCTCCAAAAGTGGTCACTGTTACAGCACATTTATTTTAAATTACATGACAGAAAAGCAGCCTGGCTACTATCTAACCATAACCACCACCCAATGTGACCCTATATCTTTTGTGTAGTGGGCTTCAAAGCCCATATAGGGAATTTCAGAGTAGATTTAAATAACACCATGGATTTTCCTTGCTGTTGTATTAAAAATTTCTGGGAAGCTTTTCTTCCTATTACCTCTTCTGGTTGTCCTCCTCGAGTGGGATAGTACACAACCCTGTATTTTTCCACTTTGCCTGGTGCATGGGTCCAGCTGACTCGGAATCCTCTAGCTGTTACCTCAGATGTGACCAAATCTGAAGGAGCTCCAAGTGAAGCAACAATTGTTCCTAGGTTAGAGACAACATACATTTTTTACTCACCTCTGCAAAATAATTATTTGCTTTGTTGTATTTGCCCAAGCCCCAAAGATTACTCCTTGCCAGAAAATCAAATAATTGGCTACAGCACGTATATTTATATAATATTCACTGGAAACAAAGAACTAATAATGAGAACTGCACATGGAGTTTTCACTGGCACTAAGGCTTTCCTGGTCTTTCCTAAACCTTTATATAAAAAAAGAGGAAAAGAATACAAAACTAAGCCTTCTTGTTCTTCCTCTCATCACTCTTCCAAGATCTTTCTTTCTGGTTTGGTTTTTGTTTTTTTGCTGGTCTTTCTTTCCGGGTTGCTTTCTTCCCAAATCACGAAAACCAACCAAGTACATATACAGCTGTGATCTGGAAACTAATACGCTGCCTGTCAGCAAACTGAAGAGATGTACCATATAGTTATCTTCTCTGGCAGTCATCCTCTTCCACAAAGACATCTCATCTCTCTATGTTTTTTCCATCCTCTGTTAATTTCCCAATGGACTGCTTACTCCCCGCACAAGACACAGCTAATATTCCGTATTTCTTCCAGTTTCCAGGTGAACAGAGGATGAAAAAGATGTAATGAGCCTTACTAATACATACTTTTTCATTGCACAGGTAGAAATATGTGTGAAAGCCTTCCCTACTGATATATATTACAAGCTTATTGAAAAAACACTTGGCATTTCTGTGATATTACAGAATCACAACCAAGCAATACAAGCAAAATTCACTGAAGCCTTTCAGGAAGAATTTCCTCAGGTAGGACTGTTTCTTGGGCAAATTGCAGCATTTCCTTTGCCATAATCTTTTCTTATGCTCTGAAATATATTTTTTGTTTATTAAATAAGATAAAAAAATCC